CTCTTTTCTTCTTTATTAGTCTAGGTAGTGGCCTATCTATTCTATTTATTTATTTTTTTCAGAAAACCAATTCCTGAACTTGTTGATCTTTTGAATGTTTTGTGTGTGTGTGTATGTGTGTGTGTGTGTGTGTTTTTAACATAATAAAGCAAAATGGGCTGTTAACAGTGAAGCAAAACGAAGCATAAAATTAAATGCATGTGAGATGTCATCATTAAGATTATTGCTTTATGATGCTCACATTTTTTACAGATGGCAAATGAAGTCCTGACAAATGAAAAATAAAACAAAAAATAAATGATTTAATTTTTTACGATATCAATTAATGAAAAATATTATATTTGGAATCTAATAAGCAAGTTATTTATTCAATTTTTCATTTTTATTTTAAGATCAGAAATATTAAAAAAAAAAAGAATGATTGTTATAGATTTAATCATTGCAATGTAACAGGTGATTACTGCCAGTAAATATGAATTACTAAAAAGAACAGTAAAGCAAATAATAAATAAAGAATTTTTTGTTTACTTTAAGTAAAAATTCACTATTAATTTGATCATAATTATCAATTTTACATCAAAACGAAACTGAGCAGTGGTGGCTCAGGAGATAGAGCACTTACCTTCCAATGAGGTGACAGATTTAAATCATAATGGTGGCTGGTTGATATGAATTCTGCTTCCAGTTCGCCCTGACCACAGTGTTGACAAAAAATTATTCTCAGTGGTAGACAGAGCATAGGTTAGACTCAGACTAACTGCGAGAGGTGTTCCTCTCCATGTAACATAAATGCCGGTTAGTTTTATCAATGAGTCCTTCACAAAAGCTAGCATATCAGAATGCTTGATCCAGGAGTTTCCTTGTTTTCTGGATTGGGTTAATAATTACAAGGCTATGGAGTTGAACATTGATAGTTGTAAGCTCAAAATTGGGTCGGTTGTTCAACGACGGTTATAAAATAAACTAAATTCTAACTAATAGTTATAGTATTGTATAAATGCATGCTTTCAAAACTTGTTTCACTTAGTAAATAATTAGTTTAATAATACTTGTATATCAAGGGAAATAAAGATGGAAAATGATTGTTGTACATGAGATAACAGAGAGTGGTGCAATTTCGAACTAGTTTTAGTAATGGTTTGTAAAAATATGTTAAGAATTTGAAATTAAGTATTTTTGCAGAATTTTAATAAATTTATTTTGCAATCCATAAAGCTGCAAGTCAATGAGCAGACAAAAAAAGTACATAGAGTTAATTTTTTTAGAGTAAAGTATCTTTGAAACAAAAAATTTAGCCAACCTGGAGTAGCTATGCAAGGATAAGCTGGTGGTTCTTTTATCCAAGATCCATCTGGTCGCTTCATTCTTGAGCGATCTGATGCAAAAGTGAGTAAGAAATCTTTTGAGGGAATAACTCTAAAATATCTGCAAGAGAATGAAGTTAAAAAATAAATCTTTGTTTATTTCTTACCTTGAAAATTGTTATTTATAAAATAAATCTTTACAATATTTTAACTTTCAGTCATTTATTTCACTGAATAAATGAAAAATTGAATTTATTTGAAAAGTTCTGACAAATCGTTTAAAAATGTTTCAAACAAGGAACAATGTATTTACATTGTATTCGCGTAAAAAAATGTGATCTGTTGAAAGAATATTAAATTTTAAAAAAAGTATTAAAGACCATAAAAATTCCCTTTTTAAAGCTAAATCGCAATCAGAAATTATTTTGTGTCAGGAAAAATCTGAAACTTTTACTCATCTGTTAATCTTACGAATAGAAGTAAAAAAAGAATGAATATACTTGAGGTTATTAAGGCCTCACTGTATACTACAGGTAGCAGATATGAATCAGTGAAGATATTAAATACATGTATGACAAGAGTGCAGTGTAATAATTCTAAATCTCTTAAGGATGTTGACTTAATCCATGGCGTAAGGATCCATGATTTTAAAAATTTTAATTTCAGAAATTATAACTGCTAAAGAGTTAACTTAAAAAATGTTGTGTAACCTACCATCAAAAAAGGAAATATTTTTTTAATTTAATCATAAGTCATCCTGTAGCTAAAAAACTAATATTTTACACGATTTGTAACAAAACACATTTAATTTATCAGAAAAATTGATGTACAGTTAAGAAATATAACCATTAAAAAAATTGTGTAAGAGTTTATCTACTAAGGTAAGTGAAGTTCAATCTTAGTGTAAGCAAATTGATAATTTAAGATGTGTTTATTCTAAATAAAACACAGTGCAATAAAGGTAAGACATTATACCTGTGATAATTTGGAGGAAGATTGCCTTCAGATCTAAATGTCAATTTGGCATATTTCTCGAGATCAAATGGAAACGGTAAAATAGTATCTAAATCATATACTTGACAAGGATCATTGCAATTTGGTTTGTATAAAAAGATAACATGATAATCCTGGAAAAAAAGAGATAAAAAGCATATATCTTTACACATTATTTATAAGAAATGATTAAATATAGCACAATCATTAACCAATTTCTTTTAGCTGTCCAATTTAAAATGTTAAAATTCAGAACAACAATGATTTTTTTAAACTATTTACACATTTGAATATGCATTTAAGCCATGAAATCAAAACCTAAGTGGAATCATTACAATCAACTGTCTTATAGTAGTCTTATAAGTAAACCCTTTCAAAATTATTTAGATTTCTGGAATTGATTTGTTTTTATTTACAATTTTTTCAAAAAAATATTTGTATAATAGAATGACATGATTGAAACTGGTTTAGTTTGCAGAGAAGCATGCAACTTGAAAGACGCAATACAATGAGTAGGACCAGCAAAGAATTCAATAACTATCTCTGCCAATCGCTACCAGAGAAGTATTATCAGCTTTGTGTTACATTTTTATTTAAATTGTGACATGTTATTGATAAAATTTAAAGCTGTAACACACAAATTGAAATAAAATCTTAATATAAATAATTGAAAAGCAATCTTATGATGCTCAAAAGTAGTAGGAAACAAAATACCTCATTGAACATGATTCTAGTACACACATTCTTCCAACTTATCAAACAAATAGATTATATTGATTAAGAACATCTACTTATAGGAATTACATAACATATTGATGTTGCAATATTTATGTGAAGTCAACTAAAATATTTACAGAAATTTTTTTATACTCATAAGAAAAATTACTTAATGGTGCTTACAGATTATTATTAATCTGCTTACAGATTTAAGTACAATTCTAAAATAGTACAGGTACAAATAATAAACTGCAAAACATAAAAATGAGATATGACATTGAACATGGTATGTCTTTTGGCAATATCTCTTTACAAGAGCTCTGAACAGCTCCTGATATAAGAAATAACAGACCAATTATGCAATGACTTGAAGCTCAATACAGTATGCCGCAAAATTATCTTTAAAATACTTGACATTAACATTAATTTGTGGGATTTTTAAAATAAGGTGGAAAATAACATGATGATTTTATTTAAACATTTAAGATTACAATACTGATAGCAAAAGAGTGTTTAAATATCAAAGTATTTAAGTTCTTAAATATCAGAATTGAAAAACACAGTAAAATGTAAAACTGATGTAACAAAATTAGAATTTTATTTAAAACTTGAACTAAGGTTCAGAAATCTGCAGTAAAGAGAACTGTTTAAGAGTTTTTAATTAAAAAGTTGAACCTAATTACTTTTAGAAGTGCACCTAATTAATATTCTTATTAACAATATTTTTTTACAAATTGTGATAAATTTAAGTAATATTAAATCAACATAAAGTAATTAAATGTGTTTTAGCTGTAAAGCTAATTCCTTTTAAATAATTTTTTAAGAAACATATTCACATTTATTAATATTGTTTTTACTTGTTATTTTCAAATGGACACTAGGTAAAAATTTTTTATGAATGTTGTAAATTAGTGTGCTTTTTTCATAGGGTGATAAATATTTTTTTATTCTTACTGAAATAATATTTTCTAGAATGAAAGAAATCAATAGAGTCACTAAAAGGTCATTAGTGTAACGAGAAAAAGTGCTGAACAATTAAAAGTATAATAATAATAAGTACTGTTTACAACTAATATAAATAAATACTTGAATTAACAAAATCTTGGAAATGAAATTCAGGTGCACTTAAATATTACATACATAATACAAAAAATAATAGTAATAAAATATTCAAAAATACATAAATATTACATTGAAAAATTGATTTTTTATAGCCCTAATTATGAAACAATAAGCTTTTGAAATATACAAAAACGAATTTAACTCAACTGTTTTCCAATCAGTTATCAAAAATGCAAAGAACTTAATACAGATTCAGAATAAATGCACGATGAAGTAAAAAGAGTATATAATGACAAATTAAAAGTAAAATAGTAAAAGTAAAATAATAAAAAGTAAATAGTTAAAACTTGAAAATCTTAACCTTGTCAACATTAAACATAGCTTTTCCAAAAATTTAAGCTGTATCTTTCTTGAAACAAAAAATAGTAACTGAAGAGGTTACTGGAGAATAAAAAAGTGCAGAACACAGAAAATTCTATACAATTTTGACAGAACTATAAGTGCTGAAGTGTTATTTTTGAATGATTTATATATACTGTAATATAATTACATACCCATATTGCTAATTTTTCAGCAGATTCTCCTGATTTTTGGTACCATAATGCTACCTATAATGAAAGAGCAAAAGATAATTATTGAAAAATGGTCCTATATATGGTTGCATATGCTATACAAAGAACAACTTATTAAATTTTTTTCAAATTTTGACAAGAGAAAATAATACAATTAAAGCTTTAATGTATTGAAGTATTATTTTATTGCGTATAGTTATCATAAAACACAATGATCAATTGGCCAAAGTTTTAGTTGGGAAGTACTAAAAATTCCAACAGTTTCAGTAATTTTTTTATGCAACATGTAGAAGTTATATAGAAAATTTTGTTTTCAAATGCATTTCGTTTATAAGTTGTCTGCAACATTAGCAAGAAATGATAATAAACAAAGAAGTTTTACTTATTGAACTTAAAGAGAACAAAACTTTTTTGACAGTATATAAAAAAAATTACACAAATAAACAAATGTCAGACTCAATAGAAAACCGCAGGATATGTGCCACAAGATATGTGAAAAAATAGGAGTTTTTAAAGAAAACCAGCAAGGGTATGTCCATTCTCTGCATACTCCCTTCATTATACACCTGATCATATAGAGCAAAAATAACCAAAATCACCGGACCATGGGGAACTAAATGTAACATATGGAGATTAAAAAATGTCTTCTACTGGCTAACTGATCACCACTTTTTCCATCAAAAATAAAACTCTAGAGCATTTTACAATTTTTTTTAAATAAAAATGTTATAATTTTGGAATACTTCATAATATTTGGAAAAATACTTTATTTTACATTTGCTTCTTAATTTCTTTTATTTAAAAAATGAACCTCCTGATGTTTAACATATTTAAAAAAATGCTTCAAAAGACATTTGCCACTCATCAATAGTTTTTTAAAAATTTTTTTTGAAAAATGGCTATAACAAGTATAGTAGCGAAATTTCCTAATTTTGTCTTATATTACTTGATCATGCATAATAATTAATATTAACTGAAATTCATGAATCATAATAAAAGACACATTTAATTTCAATGTCCTATAAGTAAAAAAACTAATATTACTCACTGTTTGATTATTGTTAGATATAAATACAGCATAACATGATGGCAAAAGTGTTGGTTGATGCTTCTGAACAAATTCACAAAGTTTCCATACATTTTCTTCACTACAAAAAAGCAATAAGATTTTGGTGTCATTATTATTTGCAAAAGTAAAAAAAAAAAATTATGTTAACAAACATATTATTCAGATACGATTAGTTACAAAAATGATTAACTATATATTATTTGACACTTACAGACTATAAAAGTATTAGTATTTTATTAAGAAATTACATTATATAAATATAAGGAGATTGTTTTTAAAATTGGATTAGTAGCATATATTTGAATTTTGGTACTTTCCAAGGGTGATTAATACCAATTCAAAATAATAAGTTTCTCAAAGTTAAAAAAAATTACTCTAATTCACTTAGAACTGATATAGAATAAAAGCATAACTTACTTAATTCTTTACCGAATTATGTGAATAACAAGGACTTAAATTTGATATTTCGGAATTTTAAGTATTTAAATGATAAAGCTATAATTTATCCACATAACATTTGCAAATATTACATACTCCCCCCCCCCAAAAAAAAGTTTTTTTTTTTGGCGACTTTTTTCGCTTAGATAACGTTACGGATATCTTCCTAACAAGTCTATAGGACATAGTCAATCAACCAATAAGTTTTGTGATTTTAACTCATTTCAAACTTTATTAGTACCTACTATAAATTTTCAGGCTGATTTATAAAATTGTAATTGTTTAAAAAAAATACAAATTTTAATAATTTACCAATAGCAAGAAGCATAACAGCATTCGTCGATAGCAGGAATATTTAGGACATCCAGTTGATTCAACTCTACATCATTATGTTTAGTCTTTGACTTAAATGAGAACATTATATCGCAACCCTAGTAAAGTTTGAAAATATTGTTACTTCTTTAAAATATTGTCACTGTTAATCTCAGGAACTCATAACAATTATTATTGAAATTAATAAATTTCATAGAGTTAAATTTATTTTAAAATTTTGATCTCAATGTATTACACAGAAATAAAATATTAAATTGAATAGCAAAAAATTCCTTTAAAGGATATGATACGATTCTTTTTAAAAACGATAATTAATTTCGTAAATTATTACTTATAATCTTACTTATTATGATTATTTTTACTATTGATTTTTTTATTATTTGTTTAGAAGGCCAGCTGTGAAGTGCATTTAGAAATTTTTATTTTAGCTCGTAATTCTAACTTATAGCTCTATTAGACGCAGCAAACCCGCAAAATGAAAAATAACTTTAACTTCAATACATTATCAACTGCCAAAAAAGTTTACGAAACAAACCGAATTTTAAAGCTATTGAAATGAAAATTTGTTTATTTCTTTAGCTATGCTTTAATCCTTTTGAAATGTTCTAAAATTTTGTTAGAATTTTTCAAAAGTGTATATTTCATGGTTTATGTATTACTTAAGTATTTCTAGGTGTCCATCTGAATAATGAGCTGTTGACTGTAGGTTGAAAATAAAATGAGCGAAAATCTAGAAAATAGTGAGACTGTTTCAAAAGATAATTCCTCTGGTTCTATGGATCCAACGATTTCAATTGAACAAGTTACACCTCAAAAAGGGCTTAAAAGGAAGCGTCAAGATGTGACACCTAATAGTAAAACTAAAAGTTTGTCAGATGTCTCAGACACTTCACCTAAAACTCCTGACCCAACTTTAGCTCCTCCTGATAAACCATGTTCTACGAGAAAACGTGTGCATCTTGATCCTGAAGAACTTCATAGTGTTTTAGGAGGTATGGAGGAGGAAATTGATGATGCTTTGGAAAAAGCTGCTTTAAAGAATAATCTTTCCCGAATGAATGTTAAAAACATTTTGAAGGTGAATTTTTAAAATTTCTTGCTTGATGTCACAGTCTTATATCATTTGTCACCTATATCATTATAAATAGAACTTTGACAGATTTTTGTAAAGCGCTTTAAGGCTTATATAAAGAACAAACAAAAATTTTTTTTGTTATTACAATTATCAGTGGAAGTGTTTGATTCAAGATTGGGTTTTTGTTGTCGAAAACTGGTTTTTGACATGACAGTGGTAAAAACCATGTTTTTACCGCTAAAAACCGTCAAAAACATACTGTTTTCTTTAATTTATGGCATATCGCGGACTATATATTATATTCACATAATTGCCTTTATAAATGAATGTTGTAAATGATTGCTATTGATTTTGCAACTATATACATGTATTCTTGTAGAAGGATATACATTCATACTGAAATATTGTAATATACTTATTGAAAATAGTGATATTTACTTTTATCATTATATCTTGATTTGCAAAGGATTCAATATTTTGCTCTTCTTAATTGTTAGAAATACACAAACAAACAAAAAAGCTTGGAACTGTTAATAAATTTAGGAACTAAAAAGAAGAATTTAAAATTTGGCATTTCTTAAATATTAGAAAAATCTTAGAAGTGAGCTAAACAAAACTTGTAACTACTAACAAACTCTAAGTCAAGAATTACAGTTATTTTGTCAAGTTAAGAACTTTTATTCAGTTGAAAAAGCACATTAAACAGAACTTAATTACAAACAAAATTAGTCACTGTGTTTTTCACTGTGTCGAAGCATACGATAGCAAGTGACTAATCTTGCACTTTTTTCATTGCCCAGTGTATCCTAATATTTTATTTCCAACAGTATGTTTTGATGTAATCATGTTGGGAAAATGCAAGAATCTGTTCTTAAACATCTTTTAACAACTTTTTTTCTAATTTTATTGCCCAAAAATGAATTTTAAATTATAAGCAGTTAAACTCAAATAAAAATACAGTTTTTCCAAAACTATGGGTTTTTGACATGACGGTAAAAACCATGGAACAAACCGGTAAAAACCGTCATGTGTCAAAAACTTGCCAACTCTGGTTTGATTACTGCATTATATAGAGACTCTTAAATTGACATTAAAATAGGATATAAAATTATGTAACAAAATTGGGAAGGTTTCTGCAACAGAATAATTTGCAAGTCTTAGCAACTGCCAGGCAGCGGCTCCTAAGAAAAAAAAAAAAAAGTTACAGATCAACTTGAAGGGTATAACTTGTAGTCAACCCAGGGAAAGCCACCTCATGTTCGTTTTCTTTTCTTTTTTTTAAATGTTTAAGTTTATCATCCATTTGGTACCTTGGTGATTGTAGTTGGTGTGACAGATCACTATAAGGAAATATCTCCCCAAAATGGATAGATGATTTTCATATTGGTTCCTATGCCAATATAACTGTCAAGTTTTGGCAATCCAGTGAGAAATTATTAAAAAAAATTGCTGAAGGAGACCAATATGAAGAGTAACTTGTAACCTTTCCTAGACAAACATGAAATTTTTTTTTTGAATTTTGAAAGTTTAAAATTTCTTTGGAGCCTTGGTGATGATATTGGCTTGAACAGTTGCTAATATGGAAATATTCCCAAAATAGACATTTTGGAAATATTAATCTTCTTAACTTTAGTAATACCTATTAGTTATTTTTAAGCAGGGTTGGCAGGTTTTTGACATGTGACAGTTTTTGACAGTTTAAACCATGGTTTAAACCGTCACGTCAAAAACCTCACTGTCGAAAATGTCAAAAACCTATATTCATATGTGAAATTTAATTAATACATAAGATTTATATATTTTTTAAAGGATAGTGTTTCTAAATATGTTTTAGAAAAAATAAATTTAAAATTTTGAAGAAACACTTATATTTTGAATAGTAACCAAAATCTTGTACTTTTGAAAACTCAGAAATTTATTTATAACCAAATTTAGTGTATAGTATAGATTATACTAAAAATTAGACATTTTTAAAGATAAACATTAGCAGTTTTGTACATTAGACATCTTTTAAAGAAAAATCTTTTTAATATTCTTTTAAATCTTCTTAATAATCTTTTTAACATAAGACAATACAAATTTAAGTGCTTTCTGTTAAATACACAGAGTAGTTAGTGTCGATTTACAGTATATTCAGCCTATTCATTTACTATGCTGAAAATTTAGTTTATCCAAATACTTGTGAATTTCATTTTGCTGAATACTATATACATAGTTTTGTTGAATATCTAAATATTCAGCTGTTGAATAATTACTTCTTGCTTTCAAGATATGCATTATTTGTATTCTTAATACAAGTGGGGGAAAAAATTAAGAGGTAAAAATTGTTTTAAAATGATAAGTGTAATAATTATAAATAAATATAATAAACAATATGAATTATATTTATCATTATTCACAAATATAACTACTTTTAAATTCAAATTAACATACTGGATAATAAAGATATTCGGTATAACATTAAAAAATTTTTTTTATACACTTGTATCAAGTTTGTATTTATACAACATAACTTGTAAGTTCCTTATAAATATTAGTTATATGTTCCTTATATGTCAAAAATGCATAGTAATAAACTTTTAATTTTCTTAAGTATCAAAAAAAAAAAAATTTTTTTTTTAAATATAAATATTTAAACAATTTTTGTGCAAAATTTTTCTGCACATGCATTTGAATATAAATTTCTGAGATTTTAAATCTGTTATTTTACCTTAATTTTAATTAAAAAATATTTTAAAACCTGCTGATTACCTATAGTATAATTAAATTTCAATATAATGCATGGCAACTGTTGGTAGTTTTGAAGTTTATATAATTTCTTGGCAAACTTAAGTTTTTGACATTTTTGACAGTTTAAACCTGTATTATACCCTTGTCATGTCAAAAACCACTTTTTGACGTCAAAAACCCAACCCTGTTTTTAAGAGAAAGTTTTCTTGTGGTATACTACTTGTTCCAAATTGGATGTCAAGTTTTGATGTAACTGAGCAATGATACACACATGCAGAAAAAAATTACTGAAGAGAGCAAATAAGAAGAGTAAAATTCTAAACCATTTCACAAGGCCTATTATATATTTCTTTTTAATTTAGGTGAAGTACAAAAAAATTCATTTACACTAGCATGCAAAAGTCTTTGGTCAAACTCAATATTATAGATGGTTGATTGGAAATGTAATAAATAATGCATAATTTTATTCCTTAACAGTCTGAAAATGCTTATCAACCAGAAAACAAAGTTAGCGCTTTGAAAGTCACTTTAAATCAAATGCAATTTTCATATCAGTCAGGTATTTGTTTTTCATGAGGTGATTTTCTTACTTCTAAGAATTGGATGAAAAAAGAATTGAAGAATACAATTTTAACAAATAAGCATAAGTTTTGCATATTTATTTACGGAAATTGTGATTTTAACTTTAATTTATTTTTGAAGAATTAGCTCTTACAAGACTTGAATTATATAAAAAAGATAATTTTCAACTGAACTGAGTGCAAAGATTTAAATTTAATCCAATGAAGATTACATTTTCCATTAAATTGCAAGAAAAGTAAAACCTCTGAAATGTGTAATATATATGTTGGCTTGACTCAGGGTTGGCAGGTTTTTGACATGCGACAGTTTTTGACAGTTTAAACTATGGTTTAAACCGTCACATCAAAAACCTCACTGTCAAAAGTGTCAAAAACCTATATTCATATGTGAAATTTCATTAATACATAAAATTTATGTATTTTTTATAAAGGATAGTGTTTCTAAATATGTTCTAGAAAAAATAAATTTGAAATTTTGAAGAAACACTTATATTTTGAATAGTAACTAAAATCTTGTACGGTACAGAACCCGTTATCCGGAAACCAGAAAACCGGAACAAAATTCGTAAATTTTCCCGCCATTTTTAAATTATTTTTTTTTCCCTCATAAGGTTTTAGGATTTTTCTTTCTTTTTGGAAAGATGTTTACCTTACTATCATTTTGGAAATAATCATTAGTGTATTACTTCGTTTTTTCTTCTTTTTAAGATTATTTCCAAATATTATTAAATTTTTAAATTTTTTTTTATCTCAGTACAGTAGAGCGCCGATTATCCGAACCCTTATTATCTGAACGTCCAATTATCCAAACTATGTCTGATTTTTTTTTTTAAAGTTTAGAATACTTTTTAACTTATCAACAATTTTTCTAAATTTCTGAACCAGTATATCTTTTGGATGAAAAGATGCTAGGTTATACAGCAGAAGAAATAGAAGACTGGTGTTGAGACACTGAAAAGTCCCAGGATTTCAAATGATGATGAAATTGTTGCTGAAATTTTGAATGAAAATCAAGTTCAAGATAGTGGACCTTCTCATATAGAAGCATGCAATTCATTAGATATTGCAATGAACTGGCTAGAACCCCAAAATGATGTTGATCCAGTTCAGTTGATTTATTTAAAAAGTATAAGGGATATGGCTGCTAAAAAAAGAGCATCTTCTTTAAAACAAAAGTCTTCGCTGGATTTCTTTTGCAATGAAAAATAAAGAAAAATTTGGTTAAATCAGTAATTGACAAAAAAGTTTAAAAAGCTGAAATATGATTAAAAAATTTCAAAATGAAAAAAATTTTTTAAAAAATATTGAAAAATTGAAATATTTTTTGTTTTTAAAACAGAGCTATTTTAGATAGCACTGCCAGTCCTAAACCTGGAAAATGTGTGAAGGGAAGGTAGTGCATAAAAAATAATAATTTAAACTAGATTTTAAACAACTTTCCAATTATCTGAACAACGTTCGGTCCCGAGCACTTCGGATAATCGGCGCTCTACTGTAATTACTTTGAAAAAGAATATAGAGAGTGAGATTTTTCCATCTGACATACTTCAGATAAAGGAAATAAATTTTATTTAAGAAAATTAATTTTATAATTAAATATTTATGAATTTAGTTGTGTTAGTTACAAGCCAGACCCTCAAGAGAACTAACTTTTCATAATAATAAAGTTATCAGTTGCACCTTTAGTTTTGGTATCTAGTTATTTTGTTACTTAATGAATTTATATTCATGAATTATTTTCAGCATGTGATAACTAATGAATATGTTTTGGCAATGGTGCGAAACACTATGAAAATAGAAAGTGGAGAAAAAGGATTGGAGGATGCTGTTTTTGAACCAAAATTAACGAGGTCCAAAGCAAAAGAACTGAAGCAAATTGTAAGTATTTATTTAAATAGTTTTCTTCATTGAATTTTACTTACTCGAACAGAAAATTGTAATGTGTTATCTTATCTAATTCATTTGACTTCTTTGAAAATTTAAATAGATATTATGGTTTTCCTTTTTAGTATTAATAATTTTTATTGTTTAAAATTGTCCTGACTTGGCTTGGGTTATGTCAGCTATGTGACATCTATATTTTGAATTGTGACCTTTGCCTGTAATTTTCGATTTCTAAAAATTTTAGCACTCGTTTAATCTTAAATATTTTTATGATACTTTTTTTATTAGTATTAATACCATTTTTGAATACTCTTTTAGTGTTGAAAAATAGTATTAATATTCTAAAAGTTTGTCTCACTCAGCCTAACAATGACAGACAAAAAAATGTATGCTAGATTGATAAAAATTTCGATTCATACATTTACTAAGGTAAGGTACTTTTTGCTAAATCATGATAAATATTTTTAAAGATAATATTCAGCAATTTTTTTTTAAATTTTGTATGTTCTAAATCATAGATTTATTTATAATGAACTATTTTTTACATTTTTGGTTTTGGCAGAGTACTGTTGATCAGAAACCTTAAGAGAATTATTGTTAAGCAATGATTGAAAAGAAAATTGATGGAAATTAAAGAAAAACATTATCTATTTAAATTAAAAAATTCTGCATTGCATCCTTTTTTGTACAAATTTTGCCCCCATGTATAAATAAAAAATAAAACTATTTGTGCTAATTCTCTCATACTTACGTGGCTTTTCTAATTTTTTCTTCTTTTCAAAACTTTGTATTTTTTTTGTGTAGCCATTTTGCATTTTTTTATAATTTTTTTTAACTTTTAATTTGGGCTATTTTTTTTTCTATAAAAAATTAAAAAAATAAATAAATATCCATTGAGAAAAATTTATTTTACTAGAAAGTATCTAACCATAAAGTTTCTGAAATATTTCAGATAATTTCTTCCAGCAATCAAATGTCTGCAATAAGTAATTAAAACTGAAATTGCAAATTTCTATAATATTTAATCTTTTTTAGTTACCAATTTTTTTATTTGTACTCAAGATTTTTTAAATAAAAACTGACCAAAAAAAAAAAAAAATCAAAATTATGAATTCCAAAATTATAATTTAAAGCAATTCTGTAGGCAACCCAAATTATCAAATTCTTAATAAGAAAAAAAGCAAAAAAAAGTGCAAGAAATTTTCAGACTAAAAATTTAAAAAACAAATAAATAAAAAAAATTAGTTAAAATATGATTTTTTTTCCATCTATTCTGTTTTACTTTACAAATAGTTTGCTAATTTTGATTTTCTAATTCAAACTATAATAAGAACTATTTAGAGTTCCAATTATAGTTTGTAACCTTTGATATAATAAAATAATGGGAGTTCAGTGAACTTTAACTAAAGTGATTACTAATTTAGGACTGATTTAAGCATGGGGTGCTGCAATTCATACCAAAAAGTGTATTAAGAACTTTTTCACTACATTATTTAAAATACCTATTATTAATTTGTATATGAGCTATAAGCAAAACAAATTACATTCTGCATATTTATTGCTATTCAGACCCTTACTCCTCTGTTAAGAATATTGTACACTAAAGCAAAAAACAACATGAATAAAACATAAATGAAAGTATGTAAATTTACAAACTGTAGTTTCAGTTCTTTAAACAAGAACCTTTCTGAGTGTTTAAACGTCAAATGAAAGTAAAGAAGTAATGAGACAAACAGACATAAAGTGGTTTAATCTACAGGGATGGAGGAACAAGTTTAAACAGCGAAATAACAAAAGGGAGTTACGAAACAAGTGTGAGAGGATTTGGGTGGGAACCCCAGAGTGTAACAGATTAAATTAAAGTAGACTTCTAAACATTGGGAAACGGTGGGATACTCTGAAGGTGATTAACTAAAGTATTAGAATTTTTAAAAATATAGAATTACTCTCAAAACTCAAGTTTGGAAGGTGAAGAGAAGTGTTGAATGATTTTAGTAGAAGAAACTCTAAAACTTATTATTTTACTTACTTTAGTTTATTTTGTTGAATAGTATTGTATTTTTCCTCTTAAACTTTTATGTTTGTTTCATTAGATACCCTGGCCAGTTCCCTCCCCTATGAAAAAAGGTGATGAAGTTACTCAATTATTAGAAAAAGAATTTCTTGAAGAAAGCTCTGATGATGAAGATTACAAACCAAATGAAGAAGAGGTATTGATTGTTCATACCATTTAAACTTTCACATTCTTTGCAATATTATGTGATGTTAACAATTGATTTTGTTTTTGTTTTGTTATTTAGCTTTAATTCGTTTGTCCCCTAGTGACTTTTTTCTGGAGTTGAAGTTTTAGACATTGGAAACTAATATTTGACAGGATATATGGAATTTACTTTTTAGAGATTATTGAAAATGTTCAAATATGTGTTAAATGTCAATTAAATGTTCAAATAAAAACTTTTAGCACTCGCCTAAAGCACATTAGTTGTTTCTAAAAATATCAGATGAAAAGGGTAGCATTTTTCTATTTTCATTCATGGAAGGAGTAATAATTCCCTTTTAAAATCTGGCACTAAAAAGGACAGACACAGTAAATTAAAAGAAAAAAACATATTTTTTTTAATTAACTAGCTCAGTTTATTTTTAGTTGCTTTGCAATTTGATCTCTTTTTTTTGTTGCCTGAATTACATTTAATACATCAGCTGTTGTGTTTTAATGTATTTTATACTTTTTATTAATTATATAAGATGCTACACCTCTTGCTTGCTGTTGTTTAAAAAGACTTGAAACTGCTTGTGCAGTGCCATTTAGATAATTTTGTGATCTAGAATGAATTCCTGATAAATTAGGAAGAAATCATTATTGTGCATTAGTATTTGTTCGTTAAAGTTTCATTCAATTGTATTAAAACTAGTCCATTTTCAGCTTTCCTTCAAAAGTTCATAATGTTACAGCTAATAGTTTTAGTTAAATGAAATTACATGATGCCAAAAAAAAAAAAACTTATTCGACTTTGACATAAAATAACTCAGGAAGCAATGTTCATGTATTTTAATTATTTTTGAGGCTATGCTTCCGACTTGCTGTTGCTTCTTTCCTTTCTAAACTATTTGTACTATTGTACTTCCCCTTTAACCTTCATGCCTTTTGTGACTTGAATTTTAATCATATTCAGCATTGGGTGATAAACCTGCCGGAAGGACGCATCAACAATTTGTAATAATTAATTTAATGATCAGTAGATCTTAATTTCACGCCCATTGGCTGAGCGGTAGCGCTTCGCGCTGTCATGCCACAGGTCCCTGGTTCGGGCCGGAAAAGGTTGACTCAGCCTTTCATCCCTTCAGTGGGTCGATGAGTACCAAGCATGCTTGGGAACTAAACACTGGGAATTCTGCGTTCGGCTGACCACCTGACCGGAACATCTGCTCCTGCACCCCAGAGCCCAAGGTCAAGAAAACTGAGATGTGCACAGTAGGCCTTGGCCGTCAAGGGCTGTCGCGCCGCTGAGTTTAGTTTAGTTTAGATCTTAATTTCATTTATAGACAGTAAAATAAAATATTTTCAAATTCTTTGAAAAGTTATTAAATTTTGTTTTAGGAACATAGTGATGATGATGATACTATGGCATCGCCTCGAACTAGTGATTTGTTTTCGCCCCGTACTCCTGTGACTGAGATATCCTCTCCTGCACCTGAAGCACCTGCGCCTATTGAAAAGGTTTTGGAACATTATGCTGAAGATGAAAATGCCTTGGTTATTGAGTTACCAGATTTGAATTCTTCATGTGAAATTAGTGAAGTAAAATATTTCAAGTTCTTTTTTTTAATACTTTTTCTGTTTATCATTTAATGTATACTCATTTTTTTCTTTTTATTTAATAGGCTGACAAAATTGCTTTAAGAACACGGTCTAAACTAAAACTGACGGACACACCTTTAGAAGAATTAGAAGCATCATTTTTTGCACCAGATATTACTGTTGATATGTATGATACAACTTGTGATGATGAGGATTGGAAAAAATTTTTGGCTGATTTAAGCAGGCCTATAGGTGATGCATTTTAACTAAATTTTATATATTACGATGTGTGATATTTGTATTCAATTTTAATAATTATGCTTGAATTTTTTCCTGCTCTTTGGAGCAGCATAATTTTATAATTTAGATTGTTAATAATATAGTTATTTAACTACATTCAAAGCACGAAAATCTACTTCAAGAGCTGTAATTAAGCTTAATTCCTTTTATTGCTCTCATGCAGTTTGCTTAATTCAAAGACATTTTAGGTCATACACGAATGAAGCACAGTGATTAATATAGACTTCCCACACCTTGGGCGTATCCTTGACCAAGTTTCACGCAACTAATAAAGATTTTATTGGTTTAATCTTACAAAATAATTTCAGGAGTTTTCTCATTCTGAATTCCATCAGAGTTAACGTTTACTTTTTTAATTTGCAATGATTTTCAGTATTTAATAATTTGTTAAATCATCTATATTCCTCAATATTACCATTTTTTTTTTATACTCTATATTTTACAATTATTGTTGAAAAAGTTTATATTTACAATAGTTTATATTATTATACAATTATAGTTGGAAAAAAAATTGTTTTCTTGTTAAAGTTCAACCTTAAAAATTGTCTGCCATATTTTTTGGTGTAAACTTTTATGTTCATTATTGTGTACATATATCGTATGTACTGCATGTCTGTATCATAAATGATGTCTATATCATCATGTCATGACATAAATGTCCTTTTTTAATTGTTACCAAATATGGATGTTTCACATGAAGGGTAAATTTTCAAAATAGTTTGCAATTAGCATACTCGGGATGATTTTATGCAACCAGCATATACTAAATTTTTCAGTATCTTATTACAAACTGTTGCTGTTAGTAGTACTGGTCAGTACTCTATTAGTAATAAAACCTGATATTTAAAGTTTCAGATAAATATCAGTCTTAATTTAGATCTTAAAAGAAAGTAGAGATGAAAAATTGTTTGCTCATCTTAAATTCACTTAAATTGTAAGCCAAAAATAATTTTGGTAGTAAAATAAAGTTGGATTTAAAATCGAATATAAAATTACAGCGATTTTGTTAGATGTATTATGTGTAGAATTTTGAAAATCTACATTCTTAATGGAAATCTGTAATTATTATTAGAGCAGTAGCAAACGAAAAAATATGCAATTTAATTAAACGAAATTGAGTTAAACTCTAAAAGCATTTTTTTTTTTTTTTTTGTGGTGACGTCCACCCGGAATTTTTCAAAGTTCGTGAATATGATTATAAACTGATCCCCCAACTTTAGCTTTCAAACATTTTCTGAAAATTCTCAGTTTATATTCGGAAATATAAGATAAACAGCAAAAGAAATTTTCTCTAACCTTAAACAGTTTTCTTTTAGAATCAAGAAAACTTTTTGAGTACCCCATGTGTTTGGAAGACTAGTATACAAAATTAAATTTAAAAGTTAGCTTTAAAAATGCATTAATTATACAATATTTTATTTTGTTATTTTATTGTGTAGAAATAGGAATAACAGTCTCGGGAAGTTGCAATTTTAATGTTTGAAAAGATCAAACAATGTAGTTTCATTAAAATTGACAAAACAAGATATACACTGATCAACTATTTTTTTTAGCCCTAAGCTCTATGGATCTAGCCTAATACGGACAACAGTCTAATGAAGGTGTAATTTGTATGTTTAAAAATATAAATCTAAGTATGATTTTTTTTTTTTTTAAATTGACAAAACAAAATATTATGCACTGATATTCTTCTTGCAATTTTAAGTTCTAAATCAACCTTTTGTTGTATAGTATTTAGTAAATTTTTCTTACGTTAGAAAGTGTTTCTCCTAATTTGTTTTATTTATAAATTTTTATTTAGATAATAAAGTGGTAGCAGAAGATGTTGAAGAAGCTAATGATGTAGAAGATCCTGATGATGACCCTGAATTTCTTGTTCAGGAAGAGGAATCACCTGATCCTCTTGATTTAACCTATGACCAAACTACAAAAATTTCTAGTATGTATATTTTTTCTGTTTTTTACATTATTATACAAAAAGAGCTTTACTGTGCATTTTGTTAAATATATATAATATTTTTGATTTTATTTATTTATTTTGTCTAAATAGATACAGTCAGATCCATATTTAATGAATTCCTCCCAACCGAAAATTTTATTTGTTAAATAAGAGCTTATTTGTTATAATGCCTTGCAAAATAAAATATTTTTACTCTTACCTTTTATATTTTTATATTCGTTGTTGAACAGCCGACCTAATTTTGGGTTTATGTCTACTAATGTTCAACTCCGTAGCCTTGAAGTTTTGAACCAATCCAGAAGACAAGAAAATTCCTGGATCAGTACCCCCTCAGGTGTAATTTGTTATGGAACATGGAGAACTTTTAAACTCGACAGATTTAACGTGCACCAGGCAGGTTTAACGTCTTCGCCCGGCGGGGATTGAACTCTTGGACATGGGCCCAGTGCCCTACCAATTAGGTTATCATGGCCCTTACTCTTACCTTTTTAGAACTATATTTTTAGAACCTTCCAAAATACGAATTTGTTCATTTTCCTTATTCAGTTACTTAAGTAGCATTCTGCAAATAATTATACTATAGTAAGTTTGAAACTTGATAGTATGTACTAAATGTTGTTCAGTAACATTCTTGTTTTCTTTGAGTTAAAGAATATTTTTTCCAATTTAATATAGAACAGAAAAGGCTTTGTCGTCTACTTCCTGCTGGTGCATTAGACATACATTAGGTTATATTCATAAATAGAAAGAGGAATTGCTATCGGTATATTTCTTATTCTTGATAATTTTCAACAAATTCTGTAAATGCCTTCTCAATTTTGGTTTATTAAACAATTTCAGCATTTGAAATAACAATTTGGCATAAATATTCCAAACCGATATAAAATGTTGAGCTTTTTGTTTTTGTTGCCAAAAATTGTTTTTGTTTCTAACTACTGTCCATGTTTCACAAAGTTTAAAAAATTAATTATTCTGCAAAACACAGCATCTAGTGTTTCTCACTTGTCTGTGTGTGGAGTGGGAAGGTTACTGTGATAAGGAATTTTCTGTCGTATTTTTGTTATTAGTATGCCAACTAAATCAAATATGAATTAATGAAGATTTCTTGCTTATCAAAGCTTTTATAACACCTTAACATTCTGTTTAATATAACTGAAATTTTAATTTAAATACTGCAAATTTTCATAATTTTAAAAGTTCATTTTTACGTTCCTTAGCATTTCCTAAATGTAAAAAAAAAAAAAAAAAAGTTCTTTCCTGTAAACAATTTACATTTCTTAANTTAAAAAAAAAAAAAAAAATAGCATATTACCATTATACCTTTTTTTTTTACAAATCCTTTCTTCTTTCTAAGTGGTATTTTTTTTTAAAAAAAATTTCAGGAGCTGAGTTAAATGCATTGTGGTCTGAAATAATAGAATATGCCCAACAAGAATACATGGACTTGGAGGATGAAGAGGAGGAGGATAAGAACTCTTCTCAGTTCGTATTATTGTATTTATTTTTAAATAACTTAATCTTAATTATGTACACATAGTTTTTTTTACAGTATGCTTTACTTATTTATTAAGTAATTATTTTTTTAGAAAAACTGACATAATTTAGATCTCTTGATGTTTTTTTTTTTTTTTTTTTTTTTTTTTTTTTTTTTGCTGAGTTAACATTTATTTAAGTCAAATTTTAGTATTATTTATATAAATTATAAACATATTAGTTAGGCTATGATTTTTCAAGGCTTAGTGAGAACAGGGAAAATCTGGAATTGTCTGGGAATTTTATTTTAACTTTAAAAAACGAGTAATAGTCAGGGAAAGTTGCAAGTTCTTACAAAGAAAACTGGAAAATTCCTATATCATACCTGGAATATAACCAGTCTTAGAATTGTCAGTAACGGTAATCAGTTACTGATCAGTTCGTGTTAAATAATTGTAACATCTATTGCAATTATTTTATGAAATTCTACTTTTTAGAGTAACTTTTCCATCTTTCCATTCTCATTCTATTATATAATCTATTATATATCTCTTTCTATTATAAGTCAGGAAATTTTTTTTTCTTCTGAAATTGAGTTGGAACCCCTGTTTTTTTTTTTCAATTCTGATCTGATCGTATTGATATTGAAGGTTTTATCTAGAGAAGTAATGAGGGGGCAATTATTATTTAATGTTTGAATTCATTGATTGAAAATTAATGAAATTAAACATGATAACATTCATAATAATTGAATTGGTTGAAAATTAATTATAAATAATTAAATAAATGAAAAAGAAACTCAATATAAATTAAATTAATATGAAACTTTAAAATTGTAACTTTGTCTAAAGTAATTTAAATTAAATTAACATGTTTCAATTATAGAAATATAGTTTCATGCTTATTTAAAAAAAAAAAAAACATTTAAAACTTATTAAACATTTAGTTTATATCTATAAATAAGGAATAATGACTTGTTTTGCAGGATTTAGAATGCTTGATTTTTATTATATTTCTTAATCTAAATGAATTTATTCTTCGTTTGATATGGAGTGAAGAAATTTGATCTTTACCTTCACCAATTCAAGAAAGTATTGAGTATGAATTAAAATAACTATTCTACCATTTTAGTGATTAGTTGCAGTAATTATGTCACAATTTTTACCCTTTTAGTTAAAAATATTAAATATTTATAATATTAAGTATTTCAGTATTATTTTTCAATAATATTAAGCACTATTAATGTATTTTAATTGGTATATGTGAGAAAAAAATCAGATTTAAATAATAAGATGCCAATTTTTTTTAATATATTTTTTTTAAAAGTCAGGATTTTTGCCTGCTAGGAAATTTATCTAAAAATATATAAATGTTTTAAAATTCATTTTTCAGAATTTTTGAATCAGCTTTTACTGGTGCGAGTGATGTTTGTCTTGAACCAAGATCTGAGTGGATGAATTCAGATGAGAAACTTCAACTAGATGAGCAAATGAGAATGGTATGTTACATTTAATAATATGCATTATTTTGTTCTTAAAATAACTATTTTAAGTAATTGAGATTTTCTTTTCTGTTCATATTTTATTTCATTATTATTTCACCCAAATGTTTTTTAAATTTACTTTGACAGGTCCTATATGTCAGTTTTCACTTTGTTCGTGTATTATACTTTTTTACCAGGTTATATATGGCTCACAGTATACTGTGGTTATCTGATCTGAAATGTATATATATATATATATATATATATATACAATATAGAAACCATTTTTGGTGTCTCCATAGCTTTTAGTGCTCCCATAGAGCCTGGAACATATTAAATGGTACAATTTTCTGGTAGTTCTAANATTTTTTTTTTTTTTTTTAGTTGGGTTTAACAATAAAAAAATGACCTTTTGTAGCCAGTCAGAAAATCAATAGATAGCGATTCAGAGATGCAATAAAGAGATAACAAAAATAATTAAAGAAGAAAGAAATTTACAGAGAAACTGACTTCGAGATTATATCTTTTGTTATTTAATTTTCTGACAATTTTTTTTAAAACTTTTAAAAGAATTTTAAATAAGTTTTGTTATTTTTTTTGGTCATTTTTCTCCTTCTCCTTTTAAAAATGTTTTTCCTTTTTATCTTATAGTATATATATAAAGAATAATAAAAATTTACTGAAAAAACTGCAATTTTTACCCCTGAACATTGTTTATCATCCAAATTATTTCTTTACTAATTTCTTGTAAGCAAAATTGCGTAAAATATTTAGGTTTTTGGTGCATTTAACTGACAAGGGCAAAACTGGTGGCAAAGAAATATTTAACTGTCTCAGTTCCTTTTTTAATGTTTTCTTTTTGACTTGAATGTATATTACAATAAAATATAATGTGTTCTCAAGTTTCAGCATCTTGACATCAAGAACAATTGCTATTCACTAAATTGAACCTAAACTAATAGCTGTTGCAATTACCATGTCCTGTAAGAATCTAAGTTAATTTGAAGTCAGTAAAAAAATTCTTACACTTCAACCATAGAAAAACAGTTTGAAAAACTTTTTTATACTTTTCCCATGCAGCTTTTGGTGAAGCTAAGAATTCAGTGTTCCAGTCTAAAATAGTTTTTCCCAAGCTACATATTTCAAGGTGGACAGATGGACATGCTTAGTGATTTTCCTGGTATTTCCAAACTCTGCACAATGAACAAACTTGTTTTTTATTTATTTACTTATTTCAAAGCTGTAATGAAGAATATTTTTCGAAAATAATTTTTAAAAGTACTATATTAAATTTTCATAAAAAAAACCTACCCCAATTATGCCGTTTTTATTTGTGCTCTGAAAAAAATTTGAATTTGCTGGAGTAAATTTATGATCTATCTCTTTAATGTATGATGTGCTGGTTTATCACTATTTCGAAAAAAATATTTTTTTTAGGATATTTTGTCTGTTAAGTCTTTTGGTGAGCCTGGCGTGAACAGCATCATTTTAAATTTGGATTAATTAAATAAATTTAAAATGATTTTGGATTAATTAAATAATTTAAATTTATTTAATTGATCAAGGCCTTGGCTAATCAATCTTATTGAAATTGAATTTTTCAAAACATTAATATTGGGCCTTTTTTTAAACTGTTTTTGCTGGTCAAATAATTCTAAATATAGGGTTTTATAAAGATTTTATGATTACTAGTGTGATCAATTTAGTAAAAAAAAAAATTGTTTCATTTTTAGACCAGAAAACTAGCACTTGTGGAAATGTGGCAAGCTTTAAAATAATGCGAAATTTGCCCTTCATTTTTTAAATGTCCATCATTCATCATTTCTGAGCAACACTCTCAGAAGATTGAGATGGAATGGAATATTATTAGAAGATTGGGCTGTATTTTAAACAATATTTGTTACATATGGTGTTTAATATCTTTCAAGTGTGTTTTTGTGAATTGTTAGCATATGTTATCTATTTTTTGTATGACTTATAAAATTTGCGGAGGTTTACATAAACTCTAAGATATGTTACTGAGACCTCTTTTCGTATGGTGGCAGTTCAGCTTTGAGCACATTCTCTGTTGAACAAAATTATTGAATTATTAATATTAAATTGTGTATATAAAATATAAGTGTTTCTTATTTTGATAATTGCTGTATATCATTTTAAATTTATGTTTCTGTATTGTTTTTTCAGTATATTCAATTACTCTCTCAAGCTTATTTGTTGTCTCACGGATCTCCAGATTTGCAGAATTTGAATAATGCTATTAAATTGTTTATGGTAAAAATTATATATTCATTCAATTGTTTGTTTGTTTTTCTTTAAAAAGCTTTTTTAATAAATTTGTTAAATTTTTTTTTAATTATTATCATTTTAAAAAAGGCAAAATAAATTTAGCCCTATTCATGTTGAATCCTGAGCATTTTTCTTTTCAAGTCAGGTATGTATTAGTATTATATGTATTTCTCTTTCAGAAATAATTACTTACTAAAATTGTCTAAGAAACAGTATTTTAAACTATGATATATATTTATATATATTTTTTAACATTGAGTATATGTCTTATAATGCAAGCAGTTTTATTTCAAAACCATGTTAATCAGCTTTTAGCAATAATTGATCAAAATCTAAGTAAATTCAAGTGGTTTATATAAATGTTTTAATATTATTTATTTGTCAAAAGTATTTTAACATTTAATAAAATTTCAAAAAAAAAATTAACTGCTAGATTTTTTTCCTTTCTAATTCTAGTAGAAAATAATTCTTAATGTCCGCCTTATTTTATTAAGCAGAATCTTCTAAAGATCTAAATAATAGCTCTAAATCTGCTATAGAAATAAAGTATTTGTTTTTGAAATAATGTAAAAAAAAACTAATAGTTTGGTAAAAATCGAAGAATATATATATATAAGTATTTCATTTTTTTAAAACTTTTAATTAAAGTATTAAGTAAGGAAAAAGCCGAATTGGAAAAATTCATTTTAGTGTAAAAAAGTTTGAAGTAAATGTAATGTTCTTATTTTGATGAAAGGATAAATATTTTCATGGAGAAAAATGTATGTATCTAAACATATGCATTTAAACATTTTAAAATATTCAAATTCCACTACAAATTTAAATGGTCCGATATAGTTTCCTTTCTCTCTCTCTCTCTCTCTCTTTTTTTTTTTTTTTTTAAAAAGAGACTTAAGTGTGCTAGAATAGATTAGCAATTATATGAGATTGATTTAATTTATATTGAAAGTCTTAATATTCGGACGAAATAAAGGACGAAAAAAGACTTAAGTGTGCTAGAATGGATTAGCAATTATATGAGATTGATTTAATTTATAATGAAAGTCTTAATATGCTTTTTTGTTATTACTATACTTTATTGCTATTATAATGTTTGCTGCTTTTTGAAAAAAGTAATTAGAAATTTTATATAAAGTAATTATAATCAGTAAATATTTTATCCAGTAAAATGAATGATTATTTTTGATGATCATTTAGTAAGTCCAGTAGAATGAATGATATGTTTGATAATCATTCATTAATTTTAGATAATCATTTTACTAGATACTTGATTGTTGTTATTATTAATTTTTTTTTTTTTTTTTGTAAAACAATTTCTCATAAGAACCTGCCAGAACTTTTAAAAGAAAATTCAAACTTAATATATTGCTATTATAATAGTATTTTTTATCGTCCTTTTGGCAATTATCGCTAATACTTTTTGACATGATTTTCAAATTCTGATTTTTTTAATAATATATTTTTAGGACTCATGAGTTTCGAATTCCGCATTTTTAATAATCACTTGTGATGTCTTTTATTTGTGCTGAATTCATCGTCAATCCAAGTTATTTTTTTATTGTTTATTAGCAGTTGTTGCTACTATTTCCATGTGGTACCTAAAAACTAATATCTTAATCCAATAATACTACAGCATGCAAACTTGGAGAAAAACAGTGCATGAATATGTGGGTTTTTTTCTGTTTTTAAATTTTATGTCTAATTTTTTGTAGCTTGAAAATTGTTTAAAAACCATTTAGAATTTAACTAGCATAGATTTAATATTTCTATAAATCTCCTAAAGTTGATAATATTTTTTCAACTAAATGTTGAATCTTAAGCCATTATATCATAGCCATTTAATTTTATGCAAATATGTTACTAAATTGACTAATAATAAGGATTTAGTGCTAAAACACTAATGTTTTTATAAAAATTATCATAATTGCTGTCAATATGTCTAAATACTTGAGCCTGTGACCCCTCACTCAAAGAAGTTGTGCACTCCTAGACCAAGCCAAAATAAATCTTAAGATTAAGGACCAGTTTTTGAAACTGTTCACTAGTCCTAGTGGTATGTGGCGTCACTCAAAAGCTCTCCAATTTATTTGAAGCTAAAACTGTTCAATTTCAATCAACTCTCACATGGTGGATAAACAGTGTCAAAAACCCATCAAGATTTTTATTTATTTATTTTAAAACTTGGATCACTTGTTTTTTATCAGTTTTCTTACAGTTGTGAAAGCTTGAGTGAATGCGATAAAGTTATTTTCCTTATAAAAATTTAATTTTTCTTATAGTATCTATTAATAATTACTGACATATGTGCACATTATATCATTATATATATATATATATATATATAAGATNTGATATATATAAAAATAAAGTGGTACATTTACACATATATGGGAGTCTATCTGTCATTTTATTTTTTACTTGTATATTCAGTAGTTATCGGACTTAGTTCTTTTTTATAAAATTTGTGGTCAGCACCACTTAAAGGTTAGGAATTGCAGTACTGGTAAGATATGAATAGAAAAATATACAAAAAAAAATATATATAAAGAATATATTATAGATATAAAGAATGTATTATAGATGTAATTAGTGTATGAATGTATGTTGATTAAAAAAAGTACAGAGATTGATATCCATTTGTTTGCGTAGGGGGAAATCCAAATGTTTGCTTCCCGAAAAAATGGTGGATCAGGAAGATCTGCATTTAATGCACATAATTTGGATGGTGCTTTGAAGATAATAGAAAAGTTTGAAAAATCTGACATTGCTCTCATTCCTCAGCATAAAATCTCAAATCCAAAGTGTATTCGTAAGTAAAAAAGTTTTTCTTTTTGTTTTGTTTATTAAATATATTTGTATCAGAACTGAAGCTGTAATAGAGTATACCTAGTTTGACTCTCAAAACTTCAATTTTAAAGTGATAATTTTAATCTATATAAGTCATTTGATTAAATTATAAATCTTGTTCATAAAACTCTTTATACTGCATTGAGAAATAATTATTTAATCTGTATAACTATGTGTAATGTGTATGTGTAAATATGTATAACTCAATTGGACATTGATTGAATTTTAATCACTTAAGAACTTACTTACTTAATGAATTTTACTATTATTTAGAAAAAGGAAATTCAAATTCAAAATTTTGTATAGGTTTCTGTCTTAAAATAATTACGATAATAAAATATTTCTTATAATAAAATATTGCTATGGCACATGAATTATAAAAATACAAGTGTTTGATCAAATCCTTTCCATTAAAAAAAGTGTTTGCAGTTGAATCAAAAGCTCTTTATTGATAATTTTCTATTATCCAACTGACGGAACTTATAAATAAAAAATGAAATTTTTGGCAAAATTTTTTAACTTTTCAGAATTTTTTTCAGTATTTATACAAATTTTGAATATGCATATCATACAGCTAACAGTTAGATTACTTGAGTAAAAGAATACAAAATATTAAATTCTAAATTGACAAAACTATCTTTGAAAGAAACGCGCGTAAAAGCAGTAGAATTTTCAAAAGAAAGAATAATTGAAGCAATAAATAAGACAATGGAAATAATAAAAAAAATATGACCACTGAAGTCGACGTCTTCAAGGGGTACCGGCCTTGGAAGCATAAAACAAAACCTTTTCTATTGAGATAGAGGACAAATGCCAAAATTAACTTTCTCAGTACCTTGAAGGTTTTGTAGAAGTCCAAGAAAAAATACATGAAATACAAAAAACCAAATCAGAAAAGAAATTTCAACAAATCTTGAGAAAATAAAAATTCACATTAAACCGGTTAAACAGCGATTTCACAAACTAAATTCAAAGGAAACTCTAATACAAAAAAAAACAAACAAACAATGCCCTCTATTAAAATGGGCAGAATGAAAAAAAGAATAGTAAAAAAAAAGATTATGTAACAAATTTGTTTATAAAAATCTAAACCATTAAAAGGAACATTCTCAAAAAGATTAAACCTACATAAATCCAACCAATAAGATTTATCTATTTTCTCATTAAATAAATAGTTATCGTAAATGCTGTGACAAATTTCATTAATCTGTGCATGTGGAATACTTGTGTACAAATTTTCAAAATCAAAAGTATTAATGCTAGAAATATTATTATTAATATAATCCAAAACTTCAACATTACTATTTATAACATTTCCCCAAGTTAATTCCTTTTCTGGTGCTTTTGCTAATATTTTTTTACATTATTTTGAAGCTAAATTTCTGGAGTATAATGAATTTAATGCTTTTAGATATATTGATGATTTGATTTTGTTTAATTGTGATAGTAATTATAATTTTATTTATAGTATTTATCGTAAAAATTTGGTTTCGAAGAAAACTAATGAGAATTGCTTAAGTGTTGAATATTTGGATTTTAAAATTGATATTGTTGATAAAATTATTGAAATTCGTGTTTTTGATAAAAGAATAGCTTTTAAATTTAAAGTTATTTTTTTCTGCAACTTTAAAACTGATGTGTGTAATAAAATTTTCAAAAATTTAGTTTTTTCACAATTGGTTAGGATTAAAAATATTTGCATTAGCGTTGAAAGTTTTCAGGAGACTGTGAATAATTTTTTTGAATAATTTGAGTTATAATGATTTTCCTTTTAATTATTGTAATATTAATTTTTTGATTAAGAAAATGATTGAAGAATACTAGTTTATTGTTTCCTTTAACAGGGCGAAAATCAAGTCTTAACTGAGCAGCCCCAGTTGAGCATTATATTAATTTGTTACATAATCTTTTCTTTTACTATTCTTTGTTTCATTCTGCGCATTTTAACAGAGGGCGTTGTTTTCTTTTGTATTAGAGTTTCCTTTGAATTTAGTTTGTTCATGAAATCGCTGTTTGGCCGGTTTAATGTGAGTTTTTATTTTCTCAAGATTTGTTGAAATTTCTTTTCTGATTTGGTTTTTTGTATTTCATGTATTTTTTCTTGAACTTCTGCAAAACCTTCGGGGTACTGAGAGAGTTAATTTTGGCATTTGTCCTCTCTCTCAATAGAGAAGGTTTTGTTTTATGGCTTCCGAGGCCGGTACCCCTTGAAGACTTCGGCTTCGGTGGTCATATTTTTCTTTTTATTTCCATTGTTTTCTTTATTGCTTCAATTAGATTACTTGAATAATTTTAAACGATTAAGTAAATATCAAAGTAAATATTGATTGTGTGTATTATTTTTAAAGCATTATTTCAATTTAAATTTTGCATATCAATTCTGGATTGTTTGATTAATTAAATTAGTGATATTGCTTAGAAATTTTTTTATTGCATAAATTTTTATTTTTATTGCATAAATATGAATTAAAGTTTAAAAATTGATGTACATTAAAACATAAATTAAATAAAGAAAATATTGATCTTAAGTATTATGTATGAAACATATTTTCAGCTGTTCCTATTAATGCAAAGAGAACTATTGCTACTAGCAAAGTATTTATCTATCCTGAGTTACTGCCAACTTTTGGTTTCTGCAAGCCATATGTTGTTCGTAAGGCACAGTTCTGTGCAGCAGAAGATAAGTTAGTAAATATATTTTTTATTTTTACTAATGTGTTTGTTCTTATGATTATTTTGTTATAAACCATTCAATGCTCAGTTCTCTATGATACATATGAATTACATTTACTTACTAAGTTTTGCAATTCTGCAAATAAGGGCGTGAAATTTCCAATCACTAGCTCGCCATTAGCGACTGGATATTTAGGGATGGCAAGTAAGTTTTGTTTTGTGAAATTTTGTATTTTGAATCAGACTACCATATTTCCCCTGGAATTGAGAGCTTGCTTTTACCTACTGTAGATCGGCATGTCACAATAGACTAGTGTTTCCCATACTTATGACTTTTGTGTACCCCTTCTAAATTTTTCGTAATGCTGTGTACCACTAATAAAAAAAATGAACGTATTTTTTTAAAAATATGTTTATCTTTATTTTTTGGTATAAAGTTTTGTTAATAAGTTTATTTGCATCAGTGAGAAGGATGATATTGTTTTTGCTGTGATAACAGTTCATCATAATTCGGTTATCTTGTGGTCAATTTTAGTCTGAGATGCAATTCCACGTACAATAATCTATTTCTTTTTCGAATTAATGTCCACGAAAGCTGAGAAAGCGACTTCACATAAGTTTGAAATAGGAAAAGGCAAAATGTATTTCAAAACTTTTTCTGTTAAAACTGGATATATATTTTGCATTTGCAGCCAAAATGATATTAAAAAACACTCCTCATGTTTATTTTTCAAGAAGGATAAAAATTATATTTTATAAAAATAATCAAAATAAGTAGAATTTATTACAAACTTTTACTATAAAAAAATTGCACAAAAGTTGAAAATCACAACTGGCTGTTGGCACTATTAATTATTAACTATTAACTCTGCAAAAAATAGCCAATAATAGAAAAATACATAATCGTAAATTTTCATGGCTAGCTTTGTTTTTAAATAAAATTCTTTGAAATTTTCGTTTGTTACAAGATATTTCGCATAGGAACGCGAACCCCCGCTAAACTGTTCCCGTACCCATGGGGGTACGCGTACCACACTTTGGGAAACACTGCAATGAACTGAAGATAGAATAAAGAGACACTTGATGATTTGCTTAGTCTCTATAAATTGATTCTCCCCTATAATAGATTTCAGCCCTAGGTGACAACCCTAGATTTCAGCCCTGTAAGTGACAATTGGGAGTTTAGTTTTAACAGACACAAAGTATGCAGACACAAAGTGTTAAAAATATGGGAACGTTTTGGATATTATTAATTTCTGGTGTTTTTTATATTTTAATATTTTTTTATTTTAATGTTGTTCCAATGATAATGTAATCATTGAAACTTCTTGGTTACCTTATTTCAGTTAATATTTTTATTTTGTGACAAATATGGTTAAATTTTTCAGTTTACGGCTTTGGTATCAAAAAAGTTTTTCACACTTTATCAGTTAACATTTTAAAAATTGTTTTCATTTCTCATGAAAATAGTGGCAATTTCTGTGATCTCTCTCTTTTTTTTAATATTGAAGCTTTTGAAATTTATGTACGTTAACTTTAGGTGTTGCAAACTACTTCCTTTCGGCTGTACCAAAGCCACAATTAACTTAACTCAAAAATTTTTTTTACTTTGCTTTTTTAAATATTTTGTTTTACTTTATTAAAATCATTTGTTTTACTTTATTAAATCATTTGTTTAACATGTACTTCTGAAGTTTATAATGATTTAAGACTTTGATAGAACCTCTTCCTAACTATTCTAAATAAATAGATGTTTTTATGATATATTTGTATTATTTTATCTATTTTTTTTAAAATCGAAATTTAAAATCCAAGCATATATTTCTATTTTTTCCAAAATAACCTATGATGTCTGATTAAATTGAAAAATAAGGTTATTTAATGTAAGTTTTGAAGCACAACAAGCCTTTTCTCATATTATTTACTTATTTATTATCATTTTTCCTAGTCTTATAGCAATAGGACTAGAGCAATTTTCCAGTTGTGATTCAACTATGGACATGATTCATAAGTGGATATTACCAAACAAAACTGTTTCACAATTAAAAATTCGGATAAAGGCTTGTAAATCCCCAAAAATGTCAATAGAAAATCCAGTAAAGGTAACTTTTACTTCTAGTTTAGATTATTCTACATAGTAGGATTATTTAAAGCAGGGCTCGAAAAACCGCCCGTCCGTCCGTCCTCGGCAGTCAAAAATTCCCTGCGGACAACAAATTTCTCGAATCCAGCGCTCGCGCGGACGGCCATTTTCCCGTTAATGTTTGTGGTACATTTTAAATTTTTTTTATCTTTCAAGAGTCTAGCTCCTCACTTCTAAAATGACCCTCTAATCTCGAAATACAGCAATATACTGCACATGGTGGAATTGATGTTTTCTCTCTCTGGGAGTACTGCAGCGGTTGAAAGGGGCTTTTCTGCAATGAGCTTACAAAAAAACACATTACTTACTGGTGTTAAACAAGAAGCGTTAAACGCTTTTATGAACATCTACCTAAATGGAAAACCTCTTTCAGATTTCTGTGCAGAAACCTCTGTAAATCATTGGCTTGATTGTTGAACTGGAAAACGTCATATTTGATTCATTTAAAAAATGCAGTACCATCGGATAAATTGACATGATAATTGGCAGATAACTTAACCTTTATTATTTAAATTATTTCATCAAAGAAATAAATTATTTCATTATAGAAATACTAGGTTTTACTATTAGTAACCTTGTATTTCTTTTATTACTGTATAATGTAATCCTAGTAACTACTAGTTCATTGTGCAATTTGTATAAATGTTTGTAATAAATAAGAGAAAATTATATTTTTATTTATTTAGAAGCGACGGGTTAGTTTCAAAGGAGGACGGGTACATTGTTGGACAAGCCGTCCTCAGGGACGGGTAAAATTTCTGAGTTTTTTTGAGCCCTGATTTAAAGTACTGCTCTTTGTATAGCATTGCATGTAACTGAATGAGAACTATGTATTTTAATATTGTTTTATTTGTAAAGTTTTTCTGCATCATAAAATAATACAGCTCCAAAAAATAAGTTTAACTTTTTGTCATAGTGAAATTTCCTTTGTTTTCTCATAGAATTAATGTAAAAAAAATTTTTTTTTTTCATAAGGCATGGCCAAAAACTTGGATTCAATTCTTGAAATAGGATAAAATCATCCGATATAAATAATAGCAGTAAATAAATTAAATTCATGAAACATACAAAAGTCCAAGGTTAATTTTAATTATTAACAATCTTCTTAAAATGTGTCCGCAGTAAAATTTGCATATAAATTATTTAGAGGAAAATGAGGTAACACCGGGTAGCTAATATTTGAAGGTGTGTTGGAACTAAGCTGTTTGACCTAGAAATAATCAGATTTAATTGTGATATTCAATGTTTAGTTGTGTATAATATATCATTCCTGAAAAATCATAGTGGGACTCCTCTTTTTTTATAACTGATTTTTTTACAGAAAAATTAAAATCGTCCAGTCTAGTTGATTTTGTGCACTTCCTGGTCTTACCCCAGTTGTGGGGTAAGACCAGACACACTTCTTGAGTCTATGGAAAATTTAGAAGTACTTGAATTTTAGTTTATGTGATATATGTAAATTTTATTCCCATGTAGATTTTATTTTTATCTTAAAGGGAGCTATGTAGAGACAATTAGCGTAAATGTTCTTTTGCTGACTTGGTGCTAATTTAAGAAAAATATTTTTTTTAAAAATTATAGCAACTTTTTTTTCATAAAGGAATCAAAAAATTGCATTGCTTGGGGTTTGACAAAAATGTTGATAAGCAGAAGAAATAAGAAGGAAAAAGAAGAATCGAATAAAATATGCTTCATAATGAAATAAAATATATATAATGAAGTAAAATATGCTTTAATAAGTTGAATACATTGTTGTTTAGATCTTAGTATCAATTCAAATTAATGTCATTTCTGTATTATGTTCTACATAGAAAAAGCAGGAAATAAGAGAAAATTTGCAAAATAAATAAATAAAAATGAAAGGAAATAAAATAATTAAACAAAACAGAATTGAAGGAACCTAAAAACGAAACAAAACTAAAGAAAAACAGGAAGAATAAAACAATATTCTTTAGAATAATGTGTCTTTGTCAACTCACCATCGCATCGCATTGTCCCAGATAAATTTATTTTTTTTCGAATGTATTTCAATATTGCTGAAACAAAAAAAATTTAGGTATACAATGTAAATAAACTCCAAATGAAATATCAACATGCTTAATGAAATCCTAAATGACTTAATAATAAAAAAGAAAATTAATTAAAGGTTTGATGCATTCCAGAAAGTAAGAAAAATATTGAGTCGCTGTGGTTATAAGCACAGCTGTTATAGAGATAACGAGTATATTCAATCAATATAAAAATGATGTGTTATATTATTTTGCATAAAATATTTTTTTTCTGTGATGTATATTTCACTATAAAACATTATAGTATTATTGTTTTCTCATTATAGACCCATGGGTCATAATATTGATTGTAATTTAAATTAATTGGAGCTAAATTGGGTTCAAACAAACTTGATGTAATCTTGTTTTTTTTCCAATATCATTATTTTTCAAATCTTATTTTATTTTTTCAGTATTTTCTTGAGCACAAGGTGGCTCCTCCATACCAAAGAATTGTTCGAATATTTGATCCTGATAATATAAAGATACCTGCTGAATATCCTTTAGAAGTTCTTCCAAAATGGATGGTATGCATACTGATCATTGCAATAGTTGGTGCAAAAATAAAAGAAAATAATTATAATGATACAAACTGCTTCAATAAATTTTTTAAGAAATTTGTAGTATTGTACTCTTTCTTCCCCCCTCCCCCATCCACTCTTGTGAAGTAAAGGTATCAGAATGATGACTCACCTTGATAAAAGTGAAGCAACAATATTTTAATATTATTATACTTAATTGTATTTAAAGTTTGGACTTATTTCGGACAGAATGCCATGTTCTGATATTCTCCAATGCTTAATTTCAATTTTTTTTTTATTTTAAAAAATCGTACTTAGAATACCTGTCAGATTTTATTTGTCAAAAATGATGTGAAAGCTAGAACAAAACTGATACTCATTTTCCCCACCACTTTTTAACTTTTTTTTCCGGCTTTCAGATTCATAGCTGCTTTGTGCATGTACCATTTGACGTATGTAATATTAGCTTAATCTCTTATGTAATAAATTTAAAACATATTAATTGATCAAGAATAATTAATTTGAAATATAAATAATTTGTTTTATTTTATTGGAATCTTGAATTTGTATCTAGATAGTTAATTATAAATTGAGTTAACATTGAAATTCAGAAAATGCAAAATAAGTTGTCAAAAGATTATTTTTTCTTCTTTCCAATGCCCACCCGATTGACACTTGTTATTCAGGTATCAGCAGGGCAGATATGTTGGCCACTATTTTAGAGGCACCATATTAGGTGGGCTAGCATTACTCCCACAGTAAGGACAGATAGTACAGAGAATGAAAGAACATCCATGCCTTTTCCTGGATTCAAACCCTGGACCTTTCTGAACTCCTGATCAATACACAGTCCGGTCGGTGCAAGAGATTAATAACACCCCATTTTTTCAAACAACATTTAATTGAAATAAAGGGAATTTTTGTAGCATTAATTTTTGAGATAATTATTTTGCTATTTTCTCTTGTTCAAATATATATATCAATATCAAATCAATATTATGTAATTTTTATCAAAATTTCAGGTGTATTATAATAGAATTGCCACTGGACACCCAATGTTTGTACAGCCTCCTTTGATTGCACCAGCACCATCTAAAGAACAATGTTCTGCCTCATCACATTCAACTGCACCTGTCTCATCCACCCAGCCATCTCTTCCCCCATTGCCACCTGTAGCAGCTGTTCGCCCAATCTTCAGAAAAGTGCCGGAAAAAAGAAAATCACGGCTCATTCTCCCTCATGGTGCTGTTTTCTCACCTTTAAAACAAATAACACCCTTTCTTAAGAAATACTCTCCATATCCAAAAAGAACAATCACAGTTCTACCATTTACTCTACCAAACACCTCAAAACCAAAGTGTGATCACATATTAAATAAAACCAGTACCAATTGCCTCATTGTTCCGACGAGTGATCTAGCGCCTACATTGAGAACTTTAAAGCCTAAACCTGTCATTCAAACTGGAAACAGTGCTTCTAGTTCATCTGAGGCTCAAGCTTCAGATTCACATGCTTCTTCTAAATCTTTGTTAGAACAGACTCGTAAGGTGAATGAGAATTCGGGTACTCAAACTTCTGGGAATTGTAATAGTGATCTCAATTCATCAGAACTAGAGAAGAATGTCGAAATGACGGATCAAGCAAAAAACTCTTTGTTTAAGAAGGCTATCAGCACAACACAACAAAGTGAGTCGGAATCATTGCCAGACCATTCACTTGACCCATTGGCTAAATCTCCATTATCATCTGGACTTGATTCCCATCAAGAGTTGAATAAGAAACCTGAATCTCCTACTAAACTCACAAAACCTGGAAGTGAATTAAGTGTGGCTGCCACTGAAATGGATATTGATGAAACTCTTGAAGAAGATGAACATGATTCATCTGCAGTTGCAGCTGTTGTATCAAAGAAACAAACTATTAGTAAAAAGAGGAATCGAATTCAGAAAGATTTAGAGTCGTCGTTAGCACTTTTGAAACCAGCTATGGTCAGCAATGATCCAAAGGTATGCTCCTCCTTCCACTTATTCTTAAAGATTCCACTTATTCTGAAAGTTTCCACTTATTATTTCTGTTTTGAAACTTATAATTGCTAGAAATTAAATTTAAAATAAAGATCTTCTGATAATGCATGAAATATTAAGGAGTTTTTAAAAGTTTTTATTTTATTTTATTTGTACTTTAATAAAATTTTACGTAAGCAAGCAGGTTTGAGGATGAACACATTAGAACAATTAGATAATGTATTATAACAACCAATAAAAAAAAAAGACTAAAATATTTACAAAATTCGATTATATCTCAAATCAGATTAATATTTGATAATTCCTGTCCTGTTCCTAAAAGCTTTTGTTTTAACTATAATTATAGGAAAACATTCTCTTTTGGAGATAATTACTTGTACAATTTTTTTAAGAATTGTGTCTTAAAAAATGAATTTGGAGTTTGGTAAAAATTATGATACACCATTGCATAGTATGAAATACATCGTTTTCATTTACAAACATTCAGTTAAAAAATATCTATCAAGTTCAGTTATAATAAGTTAATTCTTATTCTATAATTAAAAATAAATTGAGGAAAAAATAAACAAAATGTTCGTAATGTGCATCGTAGTGAACATATTCAGTTGAAGTTTTAGCAATTTTTTTATAATCTGTTGAAATATTCTGTTAAATTTTTATCCCAAATTAAAGGGAAAGAAAAGTTTCAATTAAGTTCTTTATATCTCAATTATTTCTTAAAAAATTATTACTGGAAATGCTAAATAATTTACTTTTACTTTGTTTAATATTAACCAACTTATAGATTTTTTTCCTTGTAAAAAGTAAAAATTGCTTTAGATTGGATTGTTCAGAGAAGCCCACTACTACATATTTTTATATATTTCTTATTGATTTTAATTCCAGCTATAGAATTGCAGGAAGTTTTTAAAAAGTATATTTAAGTACAATTATAAAAATTTTTAGTTGCATTTTATACGTTTTTTTTATTAATTTATAAATTTCTGAAATATGTTTTTTAAGGGACCTTTAAAGTTTTCATTAGCAAATGAATTATGAATTCTTAATAATAAATTTGGTACATTGACGCCTAGAGTTTTGTTAATCCGTTTTATTTATAAAAAAATTGATATAAATTCTAACAGGCACACTGAGTTTTTTTAATATTTATTTTTAATTTTGACTTAAGTTAAAAATAGTTGTATTTTTTAATGCGATTGAATCATGAATATTTATTTTCTTAAATACTTCTTGGATACTCTTTATTAATTGCTTAACTGTATTTTCATTAACAACTTTTATAAATTAATCCTTCAAAAATAAAATTTCCTCTAAATGTTTCAATACGATAAAGTAGTTTTTTAAAACACAGCTATGTGTTTATGATACATTTTTTATGTAAAAATGAACTACTGATTTTTATCTGTAGAGTTTTATTTCAATCACTTTTCAACTTATCATTTGTTTATCAGTTTCTCTGTGTTTTTTTTGTTCTTGAGAAAGTTATTATGATAGAGTATCATTCTATAAAAAAATGTGGGAAATAAAGGTTTTGCTTAAAAGTAGCTTCACATAATTACTATTCAAAACCTAGATAAAACTTTCTCAAAAAATTAAAAAATAATATAACTATGCATTTAGTGATCTTAGATAGGTAATTTGTTAGTGATAATTTGTTTGTGTTAGCTCATCTCTTACAGTTTTTAATTTCCTACATCATAAGTTTCCAAACGAAACTAACAAAAAATTTCCAAGCAAAACATCGAAACAAAATAAATCTTGGGATCTGATTCGAGATTCTATATTAATAGGCGGGCCTGAAAGTTTTTCTTTGCAAAATTCGTGGTTTTCATGCAACTAAGAAGTTTGGGAATTGAAAAAATTATATGGTTCAATGGAATGAATAGTTTTTGTTTATTTTAGCCAGCCAGTTTAAAAAAATTTTGATTTGAGTTTAATGCCAGCACCACTGTTGCATACTAATTTGTTAGTGCACACTTATTTTTGATTTAACTGCCTGCACTTTTGTTAATCTTTAGAATATCAGTATGGCTCATTCCAAGTGAAATAAACCAATGGCTGTTACCATCAAGTCAGATTCTTATAAAAATATTTTTTTGTAGTAAAGTACTTTGTGAAAACTGCTAGAATAATTTTTTTAGAATTTTTGCGATCAAAATTAGGGTTAAGGCAACACTTTCTAGAAAAGAGAAGGCTGCAGCTCGGATCAATTTAGTAGTCCGACGTAGCAAGCAGAAGTTAAATTTAGAGTTGAAATTTTTGGCAAATTTTAAGATTTTTTTTGCAGAGGTGTAACAACTTTTACCAATTTGATTTTTTTCCCTTCTTGATGCTTAATAACCTACTTTTCAACATAAAAAAAATTAGGATGGTGTTTTTGTTTTTAGTCTGTAAAAAAATAAACAGTGGAAAAAGTAAAAATGCGAATTTTGCATTCTATTTACAATGAAAATCAAAAAATTTTACAATATGCTATTGTTTTTTTATTGAATGAGAGTAGTTAAATTAATAATAGCATGATTATTGTTTATTGACTTTTGTTAACACTTAATTTTCCGAGCTTAGCTGAAAATTTTCCAATTGAAAAGTAGCATGACAAAAATTTTTCATCCAAATGATGAAACATTTTTTATTGTCATTAAAATAAGATTGAATTCTATAAAAATTTATTTGTCAGTAGAAGTAATTATCAAACAGTATTTTTTATAAATTTTTTAAAAATTTTAACCATATTTTAGTTTTTTATTGATATCTTTTTCTTTTGTAACATAAACAGCTCTAGTTTTGTAAACTTTTGTTTTTTACTGGTGAATACATTGATAATCAATATGCTCAAAGTGGGGATGGATGCCTTAATTGCAACATATTAATGCGAATATTTCAAAAGAGACTTAACTTAAGCTGTATTCAAGAAAAAATACAAATATATACATTAATACCAACATCATTGATGGAGCATAGAGAAAATCAAGACATTTTTATTATAAAAAATTATTAAAAGAAAGTGGCATTTTGTCAAAAGGAAGCAAAAAGGGAAATCTTTTAATAACTATTATATGACTTTTAAAGAATATTAAGAATTAAAAACACCAAAACTTGTTATGGTTATTTTTAATTTTTATTGTTACTTCTTTAGTAGGACCTGAAAAAAATAAATGAGTGGTAGCTAAGATTTTTCAAGATTACTGAAAAATTCTTAAATGCAGCCTTCATTTGAGGATTACAAAATTACATTGAGGTATTTTTTTGCTTCCAGATATAATTCTTTAAAATTAAAAATTAATTTGTAGCTTAAAGCATTTATATTTATCTCACATTTGCTACCACTTTTAAAATTCTTTCAGACTGTTTGAACATTATTTAAATGAATAAACAGCCTTTTGATTTTTCTGACCACTGAAAAGCACAGAAGTTTTATTTTCTAAGCTGTTTGAGTGAGAAATTTGGTAATAATAATAATTTGCTAAAATAGGATTAGTTTTTCAAGCAGAGCCGCATTTATGAAACGTCTTAAATAACTTTATGATGTTGATGATTATTGTTTCTTATTATTCTACAGTATTGTTTTAATTTTAGCAATTATGTAGTATGTCTAAAAACTGTTTAATTTAAAATTATTATAGAAAGAAGAAAGAGAAATTCTGTATGTGAATTCATATCTTCTTAGAGCAGCAGAAACCCTAAAAAATGAACCAGAAACTTGGAACTTATTCCTTATGTCTATTTGCAAATATCAAAATAGTTCTACATTTCCAGTAAAGGTAAGATTTATCTTTGTAGAAAGATCAGAGATCTCCCTAGAAATAAAAAATGTCAAGGTGCTTTTCATTAACAAGGACATTTTTAGTTTAGTAGGGTACTGTTCTTGTTAAATGTACCCAAATTAGGTATACTCAAATAAATATGAGTACTAATATATGATATCGAATGTATATTAATTTAGCATGAAAATAATTTATACTAGTTATACAGTGGAGCATCGTTTATACGACGATCACTTATACGACGTTTACATTTATACGACGTTTTAGTGTGGTCCCAAGTCATTCCTATTCATTTTAATGTAAAAATATATCGTTTATACGACGCACAGAATCGGTTATACGTCGGTTTTTAGATTTTGTTCACGTTTATTTAATTTTTTATTTTTTCTTGTGTATTTTAAAAAAGGGCGGAATTTGCCAACATGAATGATACAGAAAAGGGTACCAACAAGAATGCTTGGATGACGACCGTAATTTTTACTAGATGACTGAAAAAACTAGACAATGTTATGAAGAGGCAAAAACGAAAAACTTTTCTATTCATCGACCAATGTCCAGCACAACCATCGATACTAATTATTTTGGAAAATGCAAAAGCTCTCTTTTTTCCTGCAAATTGCACAAGTGCCATTCAGCCATTAGATTTGGCCGTGATTAGAAATCTAAAATTGCATCATAGAAAGTAGTTGGTTCAACTCGCTATTCAAAGCATTGTAGAGACTAATAGCAAGAAAATATAATTAAAGGTAACATACATTCAAACTGCTCACTGCAATTTTTCTTCCTTGGTTATTTGTTTGTTTTGCTTTGTCTAATTTAGAAATTTATGTAAATCAACACGTTAAACATTAAAATTAACTGAAAACAAACAGAGTTATTTTCAGTTTTAGAAGTAAAAATCGATTATACGACATTATCGTTTATACGACGTTTTTCGGTGGTCCCTTCGGCGTCGTATAAACGATGCTCCACTGTAGTTGCTATTTTGGTACTGGAAGACAATGCAATCTCTTTTTCTTAAAATGAGAAAAAATGAAAAAAGAGCATTTTTTCCCTTTAATAAAAGGGAGCAATATTTTTACAAAATGGGCAAGGAGAATTCCATTATCTTGGTGAAAGTGGTGAGCCACTTTTCTAAAAAACAGTTAGGGGGATCAATAGAAAAATGGTGTATCTAATTTGTTTTAAATTTTATATAAATATTTTAAGCTGCTTACTTGGCATAATTTCTTATTAAGCTTTTATTTCAAAATTCAATTTATAAGTTTAGCCAATCTTGGTATTGAAAATAAATTTGTGTTTCTTTATTTCTTCAATTTTTTCTCCAAAACTGAAATACTTGTTAAAAATGTTTACTTTGAAATTATTAAGTTTAAGCTATATGAATAATCTATAAAGTGCCTGAAATACTCTAATACAATTAAAATCATTAAGCAAATAAATTTTTAACTTTGCAATTATGGACTGCATTAAATTATCTATTTCATAATGTGTAATAACTTTAATTTCATGTATATAAAGAAATACTATTCAAAATTATGTTTATTATCAATCATGTTTATTATATGCATATTAAGAAATACTATTTTAGTGAGATAGAAAAGCACTCTTTTTATCTTGCAGTTGAATGGATGGTGTTGATACACTTTGACAGTTATTCTATTGTTTCCTATTTAGGTTTTAGCTAAATTTTGATAAACCTATGTCTGTTTATACTGTTTGTAAAATACATTTTGAAAAAGATTTTTTTTTTCTTTTTAAGTTGTATTTAGATCTGAAAGTTATTTTGAAGAATTACCCTGCTTTACTGGATGACTTTGTGGCTTTTCTGAAACCTGCTGAAGCAAAACTTGTTGGAAAATTCAAACAGTTTTTAATGCTTACCAAAATTCGAGACTTTCTACGAAAAGTAGAGGTTAGTTTACCTTCATTTATATTTTTGTATCATTCCTTATATTTTGAGTTAAAACATTTAAGTAGGTGCCAAATCTTTTTGGATTTTAGGGACTCCTAAATATTTGTTATTTCTCTGGAACCCGTAAAAAATGTAAATTTTTAGTAAATTCCTTTTAAAAAAATTAAATAAAAGAAAATATTATTAAATATTGACAGTTTTCTTAATTTGGTTTAATTATTTGTAACTTATTTTAACTGTATAAAAAATTTCTTGAAAAATTTGGCAGCACTGTCACAAATTGATACTGCCATCTGTAGAGTAGGAGAAATGCATAGTTTAAACACAGAGGTCTAAACAGTTGTTTCTTTATTGCTTTAGAGGTTAGTATTGGGAAAAATGTCTTTGTTCAAGGATGGCATAACATGGTGAGTAGCATTTTTAAAAAGTGCTTAAAGGTGCTTATTTTTGGTTATTTAAAAGCCCTTAAAGGTACTTTTTTCATTGGGTGTTTTTAAAAAGTGCTTAATTTTCCGTTTTCAAAAGTGAGATTTTTTTTTCTGTTACCATTTCAATTTTTGCATCGTATTATGCAAAAGCGTGCGTTTCACATTGTTCAGCGTTTTCAGAATTCATTTCGGCGTACCATCGGTCTATAGTGTATGAAAGCGCCAATCATTTTACAGGTGTGATGAAATACTTGCGAGTCCGCACGTGAGCTGGGTTCGGTGAGATTATTGCACTCTCATGTGCAACTCTGATGCATTTTACAAGATATTCTCAATTTTAAGCTTCATTTTCCACCCTCTGAAATTTAACCGAAAAATATCTCGATCTTTTTATGGTGGATAATATAATCAAGAAAATAGTTCTTTGTCAGAAACTAGTTATTTTATAATGATCATGCAAAGTCTTTGAAAATTATTTTGCATTTTGTTAATGTACATAGTACTTAAAAGTATTTTTTGAGTGCATAAAAAGTACTTAAAATGTGCTTATTTTTGTTGAAAGATTTGGCTACGCACCCTGCATAATGTTCAACAGTATCATTTATCCTTATTCTTTTAAATTTAATCTGTAGCTTAAGAAAAAACTGGAATTTTTATTATTTTATTTATTTTGTATTTCAATGATGTCATAAAGGAATCATTAAAGATTCTTTGTAATTATCAAAAAATGTATTTACTGCTAGATATTGGCAATACTAGTCGTATAATTTGTTAAATTATCTTATTGCATATGAAGCTGCTCATGTAATTTTTATAATTAAGTAATTAAATTTTTGCAGCGTAATTTAAAGATCCATAACCTTCATTAAAGTAGTATCACAAGGAAAAGTAAGTCTCTTTTCTAGAGCTCAGAACTCATAAAAAAATTGTGTCAGCTAAAAGTTATATTTAATTTATTTTTCTATAATAAAGTGAGCTAAAATGAGAAAAAAAAGAAACTAAATTTTGAAAAAATGAAATAAATTTTGAAATAAAAGCAATTGCGAAAGTTTAATTATAAAAATACTATCTGAGCTTCTTTAGAGGTCTTCAAATTATTATTGTTATTATTGGCAAAAAGAAAGGGCTGAATATTAACTATTTGAGGCCTCATTTGATTCCTGACTGCAGTTTGTGCTGCTTAAATTAAGTTGTTCTTTTTACCTCTTGTATATTTCTTTTAAAAAATGTGTAATTTATTCCAGGTACATTTCAGTAATCAACCTCACAATATTCCAAGAATTGTTCGTGCCTTATCACAATTCAGGCAGCAATCGTATGTAACATCATCAGAAGCATTAAGTGGCTTACTTCCGTTGCTGAGGAATCAAACCCATTTGGTAGAAGAATTAACACAGCTCATACCAGATGCTGCTCCCCCTGTATAGTATGTATAGATTCTTGTGTCAGCTTCATTTGTGATGATATTTATTGTATATAACATGATATTTATTGTATATAATATATTTATGGTGTATAGTTGGAGACATTGTTAATAAAGTAGATTATGATAAAAATTGTCATGTGATATTGAGTTTTTTTCTTTTCTGTATCACATTTGAATTTGGTTAAAAAAGATATAAAAATTGTTGATAAATCTTAATAAAATTGTACGTTTAAGGAATTAAAATACAGCTAGATTTCAATATTACAAAGTAGTTTTAAAGTCACTAAACAAACTCAGTAATTAATTAAAATATTTCATATCTCTTTCATTCATTTATCACCTCAATTATACCTTGTTATATATAATTATACTTTGATATATAAATGTATAAATGTTATGGTGAATGGAATTAAATGATTAATATTAAAAACCTTTGGTTATTATTAATAATAACCAATGATCATTACTGTTAGTAATAACCAGATTTATTACTTTAATAGTAACATATAAAAAATTAGCTAAAACTGAACTGAACTCAATTGCTTGGCAACCCATGAAAGGCCAAGGCCTACTGTGCCCATCCAAGTTTTCTTGACCTTGGGTTCTGGGCTGTAGGAGCAGATGTTTTGGTTGAGTGGTCAGCCAAACCCCCTATTTAGCCCCCTATCATGCTTGGTCCAAGGATAGCACCCTGGACCTATTGCTACCACTCAGTGACCAAGCTTTTAAAACTTAGCTAGTGAAACTAAAAGATTACATCAGTTGTTTATTGCATTGTATGAGTTTTGGTTTTATATCTTTTGTAGTTTTTTGAATATATAACATTTTATTATACTTGGTTGCAAGAGCTTTAAAATCCATATTGTTAAAACTAACATGTAGGTTTCCAGTTTTTGCTTAAAATTTGAAATTATTGCATCGCATCTATCTAAACAGATATGAACTTAACAACTTTATATCTTGCATTATATATTTTTAAATATTTTAGCAATACAACATAAATTTATGTACATTTTAAAATGGGTCTAAATAGTTAAATATCCAATTATTTGTCTTCATTCTAAATGAGATAAGCATGTTCTCTTTAGTAATGATTAATCGTTTGCCAATGATGAACCTTTATTATACCTGATTTCCTTTTTCTGATTTAACCCTTTCGTGCCTAACGGAACACAATTGTCCCAAGTAAATTTCAAAAAAATCTTTTGGGACAGAAACGCTTCTCTGTCTAATGGGAGACTTTCCCACCAGTCCTGCCAATATTTTTTAAGGTTTTTTCATTCACAGAACATAGATGGCACTACCATCCATAATGCTGACCTACTCATAGTTTATGCTACCAAAATTGTTCTGTTGTAAAAAAAAAATCTCGTTACGAAACGGTTAAGTCTTTTTAAACTTAGGCATTTTCTTTGACTTAAGTTCTAAAATTGCTGCATTGCGAAGAGAAATTTACCAACTGCATTAGGATTAAATATATAAAATACTGATATTTCTTGAATGAAGGAATTTGATTAATCCTTGTTTATTCTAATTTAAGATTAATAAGAAACGAAAATATTATGTAGTATTTAAAAAAATGTAAACACATCAGTAAATAATGATATATATTTTCATAAAAATGCAGTTATTGATATTAATTTTGTACTAAGTTGATATTAAATACAAAAAATTACGTAGTTATTGTTTACCATGACATGAATAAAAGATTAAGTAATATTTAGCATAAAAATAATAATTTCCATTTGTGTTTAATGTCCCTTAAGTTAAATATAACTTATATAGGGAAACATGATATTAGCTATTGGCAGTTAAAAAAACAAAATTTAAAATTTATTTGGAGGAATAATAGTAAATTTTTAACAGTGAGTAAGTTAAAAGTGGTTGCTCCTTAAAATGTCTTTTAAAGATAGTTAAAGTAAACCATTAATATTGTATAAGATTTTGCCAGTTTTGCATGCATGGTTTTACTGAAAAGTAATGTCACTGAGTTGATTGAAAAACATGTATTGACCTGATTTGTATAACAGGTTCCTTCTTCACTGTAGTATAAACTCTTGAGGGACTCTGGTCTTTTGTAGAATTTTATCCCAAGCCATCCTGTTCTTGGCCATGGATTTCCAATTTATTACTTTTTAGTTTTATTACTTTTATAGTTTTGAAGTTATTTTCTAAGCAGTCAGACCACCTAAGACTTGATTTTTCTCTTTTTCTAGTGGCAATTTGCTTAACCCTTTGTATCACTGTGTTACATATCTGCAACATACATGAAAATTCAATCCTATAATGAGGTGGATTTACCTATAAAATCGAACTAAATTCAGGTAAAGAAAATGTTGCAAAATCGGGGGAACCAAGGCTTGGTGCAGCTGCCAATATTATAATGCGTTTAGCAATAATTGTTCCACGACATAATTGCAGGATATACATTTTTTTTTACAACAATCCCCTTGATTGTATATTTGGCTAAGGAGGGATTGAAAAATGTGTTGTGAGATCTTGTTACCATACAAACAACAATTTCAAAATTTTTCACATGAAGTTTTAAATATATTGGAATTTTTGTGCTGTTTTTTACGATATTGGAGATGTTCAACAAATGCTTTTTATCAATAAATTTTTAATTTTAAGGTCTTAATTTTTTCATTATTTTTTACATGCTTAATATGATGTATTCTAACATCTGCGTAAATATTTCTTAAATCAGAGTTGTTGAGTTACAAATGGTTAATAATAATATATAAAAGTCTCTAAATTGTCTTCTCTTTTACAAATTGTACCCAGCGAGATTTCCAAACATTGAAGGCATCACAGTAGGCCTTTTCTGGAATATTATTTAGAGATTTTATGCAAGCTTCTTGACATTGTCACTTGTTCCGAAATTAGGCCATTGCTCAATTTTTAAAAAAATTATCAATTACTCTGTTTTTTTTTCTTCTGAAACCATAAAAATGTTTAATGTATGAGGTCTTTAAGTAATGCTCAATATTCTGTTTAAGTAATGCACAATATTAACAAAGTTTATTATTGCATTCAGAGGCTGTGCCCCTTTATGATCTTCCTTTTAATCTTTTTCACCACCTTCCTATCTTTTCAGTTAACTTTTCTCATTCATTACACTCTTCAACTTTGCAATAAACTATTATATTATTTTATAAAATATTTGATGATAGTATGTTTAGCAAAAAGAGAAATGGGAGTGAGAATTTATTGGTGTAAAACTGAGTACAAAAATATGAACAAAAATTAACAAAATGAACTGCATTCTTTCTCAAGTGAAAAAGTGCACAAACGAATGTTCTCAGTTTTATTTTTTTAAACTCTGCCGTCATTTTTATTGAATGGATTAAATTGAAAATCATTGGAAAGATTTTTTTACCCATGTGACAAAGAATTGCTCGGAGAAATTTTTTAAAATCACAGTTTATTAATTTACATTAATACTATCCTGTATGCTAATTAAAGTAAATCAAACATTTTCTTAATATGATTGTAGATTTAAAAGCCATGTTATTTTTCGAGAAACAGAAGAAAAAATTTAAAATTTAATGACTCCAAAACTAATTTGTAACTTTAAAAAAAGGATGACTTTTTTACTTATCTGTAGATATTAGGGTATGTGATTGCAGAAATTATAATTTTAAAGTGATTTGTTTTTTCATGAATAATTAATTTCAAATTAATTTTGAAATTAAAAAAAGGATCTGACGAGCTTCTTAAGACACAAAACTATTCCATTACTGCAAAAATCATTATTCAACTGCTGATAATTATCCCTCAGCTGTATTACATGGCCTAAATGTCCTTCAACTTTTACACAATATAACTCAACTAATGTTCACATCAAAAATGTTTTTATATCAGAATGTTATCTGATTTTAATTTCAGATTTCAATTCACTCAAAATTTCATTTTCAATAATTAGTTATGCATTATGAGAGTCAATTTAAAAGTTTCAACTGACCAAATTTTTCTTTTTGTATAAATTATCTGTAGTTGACTAAAATATAAATTCAAGTTAATATTATATTTATTCAGAAAAATATGTTTTAAAAATAATTCATGTGTTTTTTATTAAAAAGAAAACAATCATTCAGAACTAAACATCTACACATAATATACAATGTATTTTAAGGATGAAAACTTAACTGAGTCATTTGATTGTGTCGAAATCAGTTCTGTTTTCTATCAGATATCATATTATATACCTATACCTATTCTAAAATAATATTGGCTTGTTGTTGATTAATTTACAGTGTCTGTGTAGTTAAATTTGTTTTACTAAATTAACTCTTTAATGTTTTATTTATCAATACACTTATAAAAATTATTTTTAGCCTCAGCTTATACTCTTACTAAAGATTCATACTATAACAAGTAATAAGGATTTAGTCCAATATTAGCACTGTTCTGTTTCATTTCCACTTGTTCTCGGGATACTACCCGGTCCTGCTCACCCTTGATATGTGCCTATGCTGGGCCTACAAAAGCTGCATCACAGCAGAGGAAGAAGATAATTACATCACGTGTAAATTAAATGCATAACATTTTAAATTGCGATATAAAATAAAAATGTCTGCTATTTTTTCACTGAAATTCTGGTATTTTTAAATTTCCCAGAGTTAACATGCGAACCTGCCACTTGATCGAAGGATTTAACTTTTTCTGGAAAAAAAAAATCATTTATAAAAAAAGTATTTCGTTTATTACTTTTCATAAATAATGTATTTTACACAACCAAACAATTCATATCTTGACTAAATCTGACAGTCTCTAGATCAAACTACTCCAACTGGCCTTCGAATCTTAGCTAGCCAGTCTTACTTCACTTTCCCCTATAATTTTTTTCTGAAGTTTAAGAATCTTTCATCTTTTATCATTTTACATTATATTGAAGACAATTCAATGCCACAGAAAATTATAATTTCTATTGTTCAAAAAAAAATCTTGTAAATTTTTTCACACTTCCAATGTTTAAGTTATATTTACTTACTACTATCTTATCTATGTTAAAAAAATTCCCATACCAGCACTCTATTTGTCATCTACGGCTGTGCATTATCATTTAGGAATACAAAAATATGATTGCGCCACAGATAAATTGTATTTTTGTTTTCTTAACATACTGTCTGCCTCAACATTTATTCTTAAAGATTAAGAGCAGAATTTAATTTATTAAATATTGTTTCACTAATTAATTTGAAATAGGTTTATCAAACAGAATTATAGATTGAATGCATCAATTATCTATTTCATAAAATTACACATATTTGTGCAACTTATTTTTAATTAGTTTATCATTAAAATTAGGAATGTATTGATTTCAAATTATTATAAATAATTTTGTTTAAAATTTGATATGTTATTAAAATAGTAATTGCATGAAGCCTTAAATAAAAAATTACGAGAAATTTCTACATTAGACTTCCTATAGCCTGAAGTATTATAAAAAACTGAAGGTATATAAAGTTACAAAATTTGACTAATCAAAGATTAAATGAGTTTAGCTTTTATTTATGAGATTGTACAAAATATTATTAAAAAGAAAATAACAGTAGACATTTTTATTAAGGTCAGTGCTGTTGTGATCCCATGATACCATTCTTGAGTAACATATACTATTCTAAATTATTTTATTGGTACACGGAGTAAAAAAGAACATTCTTCTCTTAAAAATTCTTTTAATATTGGTAAGAAAATAACCATTCTTTACATTTTGAAGCTTGAATTTTAAAGGCTGTTGTATTGACAGTATAATGTAATAATAAAATAATAGCAATATTGCTGTTGCAATAAAAAAAAAAAAGTAAAGCTTTTCTTTAAAAGTAGTTGAGTTTTCTTTTGTCTTAGTGAGTTTGATGGTCATCATTTGGTATTTGCACCAATGTTTATGTAGTATTTTCCTCAAACATGAAAATTAAAGAATATTCAGTAAATGAAATGTTTTTTTTCTTTTGACATCATTAGAATTTTTTTTTGCATAATTAATGGTAGCAATACATAGTTCTTTGTGTAAAATCTTGTTTTAGAAACGAAATTTTTAAGTGAATTAATATACACATTGTTTAGCTTTAATTTAACTTACCCTGACATAAAAATATTTTATTTAACACAATAGCATACTGTATTCTAAGCCTTGTTGGCAGAGTTAAGGTGCTGATCTATTGTTGCAAGGTTCAGGAGTTCTATCCGTAGTAGCAGCTTGAAATCCACTCAGCTTTAGAGCGACGGATACCATATTGTCTGGAAGTAAAAGTGCACAATGCTCCTCATATTGACACCATCATGCATTGGTTACAAAATTGTGAAGCCATGATCTATGAACCCTTAGCCAACAAGTATTACTTCAGAAATGCTTTACTTAGATGTTATAATTTCTAAGAAATTTAATTTACTAAACTTAACTTAAACTAGTTTAAGATAGCTGAAATAATTTTGTAAACCATAAAAATATTTTAACTTGACAAGTTTATTTTCTAAAATATTATTTTATTTCTTAGAAATACATTTTAAATATATATCCAAATATATAACTTTTTAACTATACAAGCTAGTTATTTTTTGAAACATTATAATTTTTAACTCCCCATAAAATGCTCTTATAAACTGGTGTCAACTTCATAAAATTATCAAAAATATTTGTCAAATTATTTTAATGGTTTTGATTATGTTGAGTTCTTATCTTAGCCACAAGTTTTTAAAATGGAGAATTTAATTCCCGGGTTCTAGGAGAGAGAGAGGGGTGAACTTACAGAGAAAGTGTTAAGTGAAGATCGTAATCATCTTTTAGTCTCAATTCTTTTAATTGTTGACATTTGGCTTCCATGGGTTAATAGTTAAATTAAGGACCTATTTCCTGAAAATGATCATAGTGTAGTATGTTAATCTTTTTTGACCAAAATGATCACTCAACCTTGCTAAGTTTCTTAAAGGCGTATGCCTTCGCAGCAGTTTTAATTATTAAGAAATAAATTCTCTGTAACAAAGCTTTAGTAAAAATTTACCTAATAACTTGAAGCTTATAATTAGAAGTAAATTTTATGTTTTATTTTGTAATGCAAATTTTTTTAAACTTTAAATTGGAATTATTTCAAACATGTTTTCATTTTTTTAAATTCAAAGTTTGCAGACCGATTTTGAAGATGTAGCTTTCCCCAACAGCGATGAAGACATATCTAGCAATGGAAGTTGTGAGAATATTACAATTCCTGACACTCCTGATCCATATGGGGGAAAGGAATGTCCCTGTAATTGTCACTCTGATTCCCTCGATAATAGAATGCTAAATAGAAGCAGGCACTGTGTGAAGTGTGGAGTTAAGGTTAGTATTATTTTACTACAGTATGCTAACTATTTTTCATGAAGGTTATTTTTTCCAATCTCAGATTCAATAAAAAAAAGATGGATGAAATGAATTTATTTAAAAGTATCCTTTAATCACTGGGTGGGAAGGTTCAAGAAATGGTCTGAGTGGTAAATGAGTTATCCACATCCCTTTTCAGAAGTTATTCATGCCAATAGTGCAAGATGGACTTAAACATTGTTCAAATGCTCCTCAGTGTAAATGTTTTTCTTGTCTGATAATCAACCTGGATGGATGATAAATATTCATCTAGGCTCTGTGTGAAATTCGGAGTTAAGGTTAATAATATATTTTTTTTACTTCATGCTAATTATTTTTCTTAAAGGTCATTTTTTTCTTAACTCAGATTCGATAAAAGAAAAGCATTGGTTAAATGGTTTTTCTTAAAACTATCTTTTAATCTCTGGGTGGGAAAGTTCAAGAAATGGTCAGATTGGTAAACGAGTATTCCAAATCCCTTTTCAGAAATCATTTATGCCAATAGTGCGAGATGGACCTAAACATTGTTTCAATGATCTTCAGGGTTAATAATGTTTTTCCAGGGTGCATAGCGTTTGTAAAAAGTACTTAAAGGTGCTTTTTTGGGGATTTCGTTTTTAAAAGCTTTTAAAGGTGCTTTTTTCAGCTGGTGTTTTTAAAGTGCTTTTTTTTCCACAATTAATTTTTTTTTTCTTTAGTGATATCTGATGGATCCCATGCATTTCACGAAAAATGGGGTGTTTGCTACGTAATCATTCACGCGGACTTCATGTCGTACCCACGTTATGACTTGCGCATGCCCGAGTCAAAACCGAAACCAGAGCGCTCTAATTCGGATAGAGAATATCAGATCCTTATGAAATTTTTTTTTTTTAATTTAATTTTATTTTATTCTTGTTTATTTTATTTTACTTCTAACACTTTTTTGACGTAGGGGGTAAGGGTACTTTTGTTCTGAGTTCAGGGTCAAGTTGAATTCACTCGGTGATGTGGGAAAGTACTGATTGTTTTGATTTACGTTCGTTTCTTTTTGGTTTTTTTTTTTTAAAACGTTAAAACTCTTTATAAAAAGTTTTTGTTTTTCAATAATATCATTGATTGAATATGAATTTTTGGAGTGCTTGAAATTTTTTGTAAAGTGCTTGAAAAGTTTTGAAAAAGTGCTTATTTTTATTCAAAGATTTGGCTACGCACCCTGTTTTTCTTGTTTTCCAATAATCCTGGATCCATGATAAACATTGTTTTGAAGTTTCTTATTGATCTAGAAGCTTTACTCTATTGGACAGAGATGGTGAATCGTTTCCCATTAGTGTGCCAGTTAAATTACTATTCATTTTTTTTTTAATGTCTTGTGTGCCGCTTGTTAGTTTTTTCCTAAAAAATAATCCTTAAACTGTTGTACTTCGATTAAACTATAGAATTACATTGCGTAACGATATTTGTTGTTAACTTTCTTCAAATGGAACTCGAATGAACAGTATTTTAAAAACATCTCAATTTAACCTTTCGCACTCCACTGACACCTGTGCAATGACATATAATGTTATAAAACTTAAAATTTTTATGTCTCAAAAATTAGTAACCACGTTATATAATAAATTTCAGAAATTATATAAAAATATTGTACCATATATATATGGTATTTACATAAGTTCAAACAGCAAAGTACTTGGAGCATAAAAAGTTAAAATTAAGCCAAGGTAAAACATCCTAAGGAAAGCATCCTTTGTGGTAAGCAATAAAATGAAATTGATGTAATTAATGCTAAATAGTTTATGCTTTAACTTTAAACAGAATTTTTCTACAACTTTGACTTTCATTGTGGAGAGTGAACTATAATCAGTCTATCATCTTGTCATAATATCACCTGAATTCATACTTTTTCCGAATCTTTTAGTATTGATAATTTTTTATGTCATTGGTAAATGTTAGTGAATAAAAGCAATTTAGCATATACTTCTCGTGTGCCACTGTTACATGCCACTTAGTGGCATGCATGCAATAGGTTCGTCTTCTCTGCTACAGGAGCATCTAAATAAGATACAAGCTTATCTTGTACATCATGTGTCTAATTATTCGCTATGATTTTTTGTAATTAATCTAATTAAAATATTTCTTAATTATTAAATTTTTTTCAACACGAGAGTTAAAACTAAGTTTAGCTAGACCACTTACTTTATTCTTTTTAATTTTTTCGTTATAGTTCATGGATGGTCGTATTTATCTTCAAACTGGTAAAGTTCTGAAACCAGCTCAGGTGACCTATCGAGTACTGCCACCTGAGTTCAATGGCAAAGAAGCTAAAAATTCACAGAAAGATAGCTTAAAGTCCACATTATCTCATGAAATGATTCTGAAAGTTCTTACTCATTCAGAAACTGCAGCTAAATTGGAAGTATGTAACTACACGTCTGGTTTGATTTTAAATAAATTCCATTTTAATAAATACTTGTTAAGTGATATTGAATTTTTAATTAATTAAAGAAATTACATGGCGCTAATTCTCAAGGCTCTTTAAAAGCTATTCATCTAATAGCTATAAAATTTTTTATTGCTGTGTAGTTTTTTCTTCTAAAAAATTAACCATAACAACTCAAAACTAAGCTAATCTTATATATTTTGTTACTATATCTATATACTTTTTATTCACATACTTTGCAACTATATATCTATAATTTGAAACCTCTAAACAGGAACAAGTATAATATTACCTGTATGAATTCATTCATATTTATATTTTGATTACTGCTGATAGTATACTTTTAAAGTATTCACAGTCTGAGTATTAAATCAATAAGCTTATCTAAATATATTATTATCTTTCATAAATATTCTTAATTATTACAAAATGCTGTTTCAATAACTGCAAAAAGTCTTTCATTGTAAACTATTTCGTTCCAGTAAAAATAATTTACCCTGTAATTTTAATTTGTTTCAATAAAAGATCCAAGGGTTATTAAAAATATATTTTTTTATAAAATCCATTCAAGAAAAATGGAAAGAGAAGTGTAGAGTTTGCTTTGTTCTGCTTAAGAAACCAAATTCAAAATTGTCAGATCAAATTTCAAAATTCATTATAAAGTCGTCTACAAATGGTGATACTGATTGGAAAAATATAAAACAATATTTTCTATTATTTCTGCCTTTTACAAATGAAAAATATACACAGACATCTTTTTATTTTGTTTTCAAACTACATCACATTGTCCCAGCACTGCAAATAAAGATTTGCAATTTGAAAAAAAAAAATTTTTTTTTACACTTTTTTCTCAGTTAACAGCAGATTTTGATAAAATGAAAAACTCACTGCAAACACAAAATCTCAATTTAAAAAAATCTACACACATTGTAAATTCCTTCCTGTAATTACAGTTCCCGGCAAAATTAATAAAAGCACTGTAAGATTCTATGTAAAATCTTAATTATCAGGTGATACTATACAGCATTATTGTTTTTACGCTGCTGAAACCATTGTACATTTGTTTATGTTCGTGTATCAGTTGGGGGGTTAACATTGTAATGCAATATGTTACATGTATACGTTGCATGTTACGTTAAACATCCATTACATGTATGTTTAAATATAAAAGTATTGCATATAAACTCGTGTAAAACATGCAATTATTAAAACACTACAGTGCTTCTAATAATTTGGTCTAATTATTATAATATACTAATATAATACATACCTCATTTAATAAATATTCTATATTTATATAATATATCGTCTAATTTATCCAATCATTTAATTTACATTATATATTGTCTAATTTAACTAATTGATACACGAACGTAAACAAGTGCAGACCCGTTTCAGTCGTGCAAAAAACAAACCGGTTTCACTCGCTATATAGTATAACTTGATAATTAAGATTTTACATAGAATCTTATAGTGCATCTAATAAATTGACCAGGGACTGTAGTTTAAACTCTTTCTTCAACTCATTTTAGCTAAATTTGTTTGAAAATCACGGATTTTTGTAAAAATATTTCATTGTTATTGAACTCTATATTGATTCATACACAGGTATGAGTTTGGTGAAAAACCACAAAAGCTGAAATTGAAAAATATCTGCGAAAACAATTTTTAAATGATTGAAAAAAATACCTGAAATTAAAGCAAGAAAAAAAGTGTATTGGAAACAACTGTCCATAGAATGTTATCAATGTTTTAATAAAAATAACGATTCAAAATTTTATTTATTTTAATTGTGGGAATATAAATTGCAATGTGTGATTTTTAAATCACGCAATACGAATCTTGATTTTTAATTTTAAAATCGAGTAAATATGAATATCTGTTTAATTTTAAAATCACGTAAATACGAATATCTATGTTTAATTTTAAAATCGCGTTAAGATTAATATGAAGATATATTTGTTTATAAACTTGGTAACTGATTTTCAAGTTTGTGGAAGCTAATTTCCTAAGCAGAATGCTGCAAACCTTATGTTTCTATTTACTTACTTTTTTCTTTGATTTTTTAAATCAATGGTCATTTTTTGGGTATCTGCTAGATATATGACAAGCCCATTCTGATTAGGGGTTTTCATTTGGAATACATACATTTTGAAAACAGCGTTTGATACTTTTTCTCAATTAGCAGTGTGTATATTAACTATTAATGAACTTAGTAACTAATTTTAAAGATTGTTTAAGCTAATTTACCTCTTTTCCGAAGCAGGACGCTACAATCTGTACATTTATATCCCTCTTACCTTCTTCTTTTATTGAGTTTTAAATAGACGAACATTTTTTAGATACCTGATAGATATATAACTTGCTTATTCTGTTTAAATAAGTATTTTATCACTAGGCAGCTGCTTTGAGAAAAGATATCACCAGGGTTGGAAATGTAACCTCTAAACCCGTAACACATAACACCAGTGAATCTGTTCCTACTTGCTCAAAACTGCCTTGTGATGTTATAGAAGATACTGTTTTCCCTACCGTTGCAAATACTGCAGCCAAGAGTGCACCATCGGATTTTAGTCTTCTTAGAGATATTATTGGATTTTCAAAGGAAAGTACTTCTCTTCAAGCAGATGCTGAAGATAAACAATTATCAACACAGAAAAAAAAGTGGAGTGGGTAAGTGTAACATATGTTTATTTTTTTAAATAATTTAATTAAAAAAAATTGTTTTTAAAATTTTTTAGGTAAAAAAAAATTTGTTTAAAACTTTAACAAATTTTAAATAGTTAATTCATGTTGAATTTTATACACTAAAATTCATCAATATATAACTTTTTCAATTTCACTTGCTTTATTGAAAATCAAGGACCACTAACTTCAACTATGTTTCTTAAATTAGTTGATAGATATATCAATGTGTTTGCAAATTTTGATGTTGACTCATTTATCATAATGTTTACATGAACATTAAATTTATTTATATTTAAAAGAGCTGTTATATTTGTTATAACTAAAATTTTATTAAAGAACAAAAATAATTTTTGAATAAATAGTACTATTTTATTAAATGTTCTTTGTTATTTTACATCACCGAAATAAGTTTATAATTTTTTTATTTGGCATTATATTTTACTTTAGTTTAATTCCGGCCCATTCTTAAGATTTCACTGTTTTCAAAATAAAAAGTTACCGAATACAGTTTTAGATAGAGAGGATTTCATTTAATATGTTTAATAATGTTCTAGAACTATTACATATTATCTGTTCATGTGTAGAAAAATCTAAATACATTCATGTATATTTACTTAAATATTTACAATTGGCAAAACTCTTTTTAATTTAGTCGAAACACCAGGCTTGGATTTTAAGTTTACCCACATATTAATGAAACAAAACTATTAAGTATTTAAAAATTACAAATGCATATCAAAACTATGACAGTTCCATGTCCTTTCTGAAAGTGGTACTGATTTTTTAACAATTATTTTGTTTATTTTTTTAATTATTATATGTTTGTTTTTGTTTATTTTAGTTTGAAATAAATTTAGATCTTCTCTTACTTTAGAAATTTCTGTTTGTCCAGTTTCAAGAGACACTTTTAAGTTTTGGATTATAATTAAAACTAATTTAGTACCATTTGAAAAAAAAGAACTAGTTTAGAATTAAGATGTTTAAAATTCAGTCAATTTTATGTAGAAAAAAATTGTAGATAGTTTTTTAAAATAAAATTCAATACTCTTTGAAACATCTAATCACAATTACCTTCTGTCAGAGATTGCACAAGCACACAGTAAAAATATGTTTTTGTTTTTTAATATTAACTGTTGGCAGTACTGCACCAGATTATACCAATTATTGTTGACTTTTGATGAGTGATTAATGTTGTAATTAATACAATAGAACTATGTACTATATTTATTTTTTGGGTATTTTTAGATGTTATGGTTCATTACATGTCTTTTGTTTATTAATTAATGCATGGAAGAGGTTTTAATTAAGTTTTTTTCTTATTCTTGAAATATACAATACTTACATCTTAATGTTACAATCTTTCGTTAAATAAATTATTATTTATGCTTATTTTTTATTAGCATATGTTAGGAAAATACAACTCACTATTTAAATATTTATTTCCTTTTCATTTTTTGAAACGAATTTCATAATATTTATACATTTTGCTACATAGTGAAGTTTGTTTATTATTGAACAAAGCTATTATAAAAACTATTTCTTTTTCTAGTGTTACAGTTACATTATTACATTGAATTTTGTTATTTAGATCCAGTGTTTTATCTCACTTTCTTTTTTTAGGGATGAAGATAAACTTATTATTTATAACTGTCAAAGATTAGGAATTCGCAAAGAAACGTTTTCTGTCACGGCAAAATCCTTAAAAGATAGGACTGCTGAAGAGGTATGACAAAACTTAATTTTTGAAACATGTATATTTTAAGGAGTAGGTTAATATATATTGGATTTCTTTTTTCTATAACTTGATTGAACTTATAAAAAAAGGAGTTATATAAAAATAAATTTTATTCAAAAATTTATATACATAATTATAAAAAAAAATACTAAAACTTTTATCAAAAGTAAAAGTTATATATGTATATATTAGTTTACATTCACTCAGATTTTTTCCTATCGTAAATTTAATCTAAAAATTCATTATATGTTGAAAAAATATATTCTGAAATATTTTGAAATAAAAATGTAAAAAAAAAAATAATACTTGTTTATTTTGGTTAGTTTTGTTTAATTAGTTGTGGTAATGGGTACTTAATATACTAGTATAAGAAGAAGAAAAAAGTAGTAAGTATAAAAGAAAAAAAAAATTAGTAAAAAAAAAAATTTTTTTTGCATTTAATATATTTAACAGAAATTGTCTTTACCATTGTTATTTATTTTGAAAAATGTGATAATTTTTTTCTTCTTTCCAATAAATTTTGTTTGATTTTTTTATAGAAAAAAGTAATAATGAAGGCTATATTTTTTTCTAGGTTGAAGAAAGATTCCTGCTTATGGTTGAGTTAATGTCTAAAAATACAAAAAATCAGGCAGTATAGTTGAAAGAATCATCATTAGTTTTTTTAAATTTTTTATTTTAGCTAACTTTGAGCAATTGGCATATTAAAATTGGCAAAAAGAATACCATGATAAATACTATATTTTTATGTAAAAAATTATATTGTTTTAGTTTTGCAAAACAAATTGAAACATGAAAATTGTTTTGATCTTATTTAAATTAAATATATCAAGTACATATGCACACTCAAGGGAAGAGTATATATATTTTTTATTCCATTAACACGCAAATAATTAATTAGATTGAGCTACATTATTTATTTCTCTAAAAAAATAAGAAATAAAAACATTATTATTATTTTAAATACGTCATATATCTTATAGTGTTGTACAATACTAAATTTTTGAATTTACAAAGACAACTATAATTTATATTATTATTTTCTTCTTTTTATAAGTTTGTCTAGAATTGTATATTAAAGTTTTTTTCATATATATTTCTAACATTAAACCACGAATAAAAACAAAGCTAGCTTTTAGTTCATTTCCCCCCACTTTGTGCTTGTTATTCTGTGAACATTAACAAAAGTTTACGTTGCAAACTATGAACTTGTTAGGGTAATTAAATATTTTTACTACAAACTATCAGTATAACAGAAATATTATTAATATTAAATTAAAGGATTTACAGTTTTAATTCTTTTGTTTGTCTAATAAATTCTGTTTATTCTTGCTGAAAAAAAATTCTTTTATATCAACATTTGACTCATTAGTCTTATACATTTTATTTATATCCACATCTTTCCTTTTTTGAAAACAAAATCGAGTTATGAATCATTTAATAATTTTATTATTGAATCATTATGGTTTTTTAAGAAATATTTATTCAATATGTGCTCTGTGTTTTTAATAAGCATTAGTTATAACTAAGTGGTTTTAAATATATTCGCCATCTAGTCTAGAAGACATGTGTATTTATTTCCTGTATGATATGAAACTTTTGTATATTTTAAAATAAATATTTTATTTTATTACCATAGCAATTTTCTTTATTTTAAATACAATTTTTTGTGATTTCGATAAAGTCGAAAATTATAAAATTATATTAAATTCAAAACGTATGTATTTACTTTGATAAATTAAAAATTAATATAACTTAAAGGTCTTTTAAGAAATTTTGAAAATGAATATTGTTAAATATATGTTTTAATCTTTATAAAAAAATTTAACTAAAGAATAACATATTCTTTTAACACTTTGTTTTCTAAGCAAATGATTTGAATACTTTTTAGTGTGTCATGAAAAGAAATGATTTTTAATTCTCTTTCAAAAATAGTATATACAACCTAAAAGATGAATAGAAATAAAACAAAAAACAGAAATTTGAAGAAAAAAAATAATAACTTGAAAATTAATAAATTTCAATAATTTTCTTATATTTTCCCCTTAAATATAACTGGCACTGTAGCTTGTGAGTAATATGGCTATCATCTTATAAAACATTTTTTTTGTTACTCTTCTAATGAAATTCTATATGAGAGGACAACAAACATCTTTCCCCCCAACAAAATATTGTATTTTATTGTTTCTAAAATTTTAATGAAAGCCGTAGTCAGAACCCTGTCTAACAATCAACAACATATCAATACAACAATTTAAGAATACAATATTTAGTTGTGGCTTCTTAGAAACTATTTGATGTAAATTTAAAAAAAAAAAAGATTCCTTATAAACCAAGATGATTTTGATGTTAATATAACTAAATATTTAGTAATAAAAATTTGTTTTTTAGTAAAAGAGCTTTATAATTGAATACAAAATGTTTTTTTTTTGTTTATTTAGCTCTACTTATATGCAAAAAAAAAAACAAAAAAAAAAAAAAAAAAAAAAAANAAAAAAAAAAAAAAAAAAAAAAAAAAAAAAAAAAAAAAAAAAAAAAGCAGCAATATTTAACATACACTGATTTTCACATTTTTAGGTAAGGATATTGATGTAGACAATCTAGAAATTTTATTTTTTACATATTGATTATTTATTGTTACCCTTAGTTTATTAGCAATTTTGTATCTGTTCTCAAATTATTTTGCAATTTATAATAAATAAATAAATAAACAGGCCTGCTTGTTTATACTAGCTGATTTATCAACTGGAAGAAATGAGTGGTTTAAAATGACTATTGTGTGAAGTTTAATCTTGTTAAACTGTAATTAATTTATATAAGATAATAGATTTAATTTTATTTAATACAAATATGAAATAATGATACAAATGTATTAATTAGTAGATAATTTATAAATGTCCTTCAGTTCTTCGACACACTTTAATTCTTCATCATTTAAGGGTCCTTCTTTTCTTATGTCCCATCTATGAGAAAGAAGAGTGCTAAAATTAACTTCCGTAAGGCCGAAGACTGGCAAATGACTGAGAATAGCATCCCAAGATATTTCAGTCTCTTCTGCTGCAATCTGTAAAATAAGATAATAAAAATTTTTAAACTTAAAAGTATTACAGATTACATATTTAGGTAATTAGTCATATGTAATCTCTTAAAAATTATGTATTGAATGAGTAATTGCTTTGTAACTGGTACTAATCAGAAATCTAAGAATTTATTCAGAAGTGATTATTATTAAAATTTATGAAATCTAATATTGATTTATGGTAAAAAAAATAATTAGGCAGTCATGACCAATATTGAAAAGAATAAATAAGTTGAATCAGAAAAAAAAATCCCTGTGACTGAATGAGAACTTTTATAAGGGTAAAATAATTTCATTTTTTACTTTTTCTTTATTACAGTATTATCTTATGTTTGTACTTCTAATTGTTTCAATGAATTTTGAGCAAGAATACTCAAAAATCAATTTTGACCACATTTTTTTAGCAAAGAAATAACTTAATTAATTTTTTAAACATTAATGATACACTGAGAAGTTTAGTAATTAATCTTGGAAATTTTAAAAATTAATTTCTGAGTGTTTAAAAATGATATAGGCTAAACACCTGACATTTCTGATTCCTGAAAATTATGCTACACACCCTGAATAAGTGTTTTTTGGATCTGTAGCTTTAGCCAAAAAGCAAAAACTTGTTTTATTTTAGCATTTTTGATGAGTCTTTTCACTTTTTAAAAAAAATCTACAGTATCAGAAACACTGGGAAGTATTAAAAATATTCCACAAATTTGCGTCATTTGAAAAAGTGCCCGAATCTTAAAGTCTCTTTTCATTACCATCTTTTCTAATTCCAATATTTATGGAGATATTTTTTAATAATGTTGATACAAACAGCATCTTGTTTGCGCAGCATCTTTTGTGCACCAAAGAGAAACATAACATTGAGTGCATTTTTTTCTAATATAGTGAAAAGCATTAAATAATTAAGTTTTTACGAACTTCTTAAACTTGGTTATTTCATTATTCAGTTTTCTTATATGCCAATGTAAATGCCAATAAAAAAATAGCTCTCTCACTATAAATAACACATTACATAAAGTTGGGAATGCTTCTCGCTGTACTTTACTAACAGGTAGTTACATATCTTTATCATGAGGAAAATAAACATAATATGTAATATGAACAAATATCTTCCATACCAAAACTTAAAAAAAATAAAATAATTGTATAAAGCAATGATAAAATAAATACTAATTTTTTAAATAAAAGTACTGCCTTGAAAAATATTTTAATTCTATCATAAATTTTTATTTTTATTGACCTATATATTTTTATCATATCCCATTAATTATTGCCAGCCTTTATGTATTCGTTCTATGAAAAATTAATAAAATCAAAATAATTAGTATAAAGAATTATGAATAATAAGGAATGTTACAATTTGTATTAAAAATGATTCTTATTTTTCTGCAAGAACTTTTCGTAAATTTAATACAGAAACAAAAGGAAATTATCAGAAAATTGTAACACTTTACAGTTTAAAAAATTAATACAACTAAAACAAGTTGAGTTTCGAAAGTATCAGGAAAAGTCAGGATTTTATCTAATCTAACATCAATATATACAATAATTTTTAACCTATAACTTAAAAATTTTTTTAAAAATGAAAGGGTATATAAACACCTGGGTGAAGGAACTGTCTCCAACCATGTCAAATACTTCCAGAGGATTAAAATGGTAGCTTGGCGGAGAAATATTGTCATCAAAATCTATGTTCAATGTTTCTTCATGACAGTTTCTTTCAAAATTATTTTCTATAATTTTTAAAGAACCTCTTCTATAAATTTCTGAATTGCAGCCTGAATCCAATGATTCTTTCTTACTTTCAAGAACTGATTTATCTTCAACAGAATTATTATCTACACAACAATAAAAATTAAAAATATTTTTTAGAAAGAAAATTTATGGAGTAAATTATTAGTTATGCTTTAAAACTACGTTTAATTTCAGAAATTTTTACATGGAGTAAATTTAAATTTGCAGTTACAATCGAATGATTATTTCATATTTTCTCTAACTAATTTTATTTCAAAATTTTTTTAAAGGCTTTAAAAATAACAAGTATTTTAAGGCACATAAAAACTCATTGTAGTAAATTAAAAGTTTAGCTTCAAAACTTATTTAACTCCATTTTCAGAACATTTTAGAGAGCAAAAAAATTAGATTTGCAATAAATGATTTTCTCTAAATTTAATAAACTGATTCAATTTCAAAAGAATTATCTGAAAGCAAAACAAAATTAATAACTATTTTTTGCATGTAAACAAAGAAAACATCATTGAATATATTAGAAGCTTAATTTTAAAACTTAATCAGTCTATTTTCAGAAATTTTTCAAAAGAGATTAAAAAACATTTTCAATCCAGAAATTAATTAGATAAAGTTTTTTTTTTTTTTTTTAGAATTTTCAGAAAAGTCTTAGGTATGTGTTGGTTTAGAAAATCTTTGTTATTAAAACTCATTTTAGTTTTAATATGAAAACTATACTATTTTGATCGAACTCAGACTTCTTTTTTATTATTACTACACTGTACAGCAGGAAAATGCTTTTTGTATATTTTTAACTAAAAATAATAACTCTGTAATTATTATTAATTTTCTACATTGCGCCATTTTCCTAAAAATTCATATTTTAGCATAAAACATTGCGTATTTAATAGCACATAATACCAATTAACAGACAAAGGAATGGCTCTCTCATTGATTGTGAGACTGCCGCTAATTTTGCAACAAAAGCCTTGTCTGCAAATTTGCTAGGAGCACAACCACTGTTCTCCAACTAAAACGGTATGCAATGGAATATTTATATATGAATAAAACATCTTTTGTTCAGACAGAATCACATAGTATCATCTAAATTACAGAAAAACACATTCAAATTTGTTGTACAGTGTAATTAAAGACAAAGCAATGATATAAAACAATAAATAACAGAAGAAATTTTTTTTTCGATACAAGTTACAATATGTTTAAAAGTATTTTTATTTATTTTGTTTTTGAAATAATATACATCAGTAAAAAATTCCTGAATTCAGTAAAACGTTTAACAGGTTAAAATTGCATACAACTACTAAGACATTGCACTTGAAAAAGGAAAATTTTAAGAAAAATTTAAAATTAAATTAACCTACCTACGGTAACATCTTTCTGCTCTTGAAATAAAGATAAACTTTTTTGATCATCTCCGAGTGAATCTTGGCAGAAAAAAGGGGACGGAGTATTGGAGTTTAATACAGTATAACAAGAAGACATAGCAGGTATTGCTAAGCTCTTTTGAATCCAATTTAGATTGTGTTTCAACATTTTGTGAAGATACAAAATTATTTCATTTCCTAAGTGAATAACAATATGCACAGTGTTTAATATAAAGTATCGAAACAAAAACAAGCTTGATAAAATTTAAAAGTCTAATTGATGTGCATGTGAGTGACATTAGAAAAACAAGAATAGAAATGTATAATTACAAAACAGTGCTTTCAACAACAAACATATATGTTATACTTTTGCTTTTCTTATGCAAAGGTATAAAATGTAATAAATATTTAGAAGGAAAATAGTATTATAGTGCCATTCGGAAAAACCTTGTCAATTATCAATTTCATGAGCAGTATTTAATTATGCTCTGTACTGCTTCTTCTGGCTGTTGCTTTTCATATCTTTGATGGTTTAAAAAATATTGAATGTATTTTCTAGTTTATTATGTTTGTAATTCTATTTTTGATTCTTTTATAACAGTTTCAGTCTTTCATGTAACATGGTTAAACTTAAATATTCGAATGTTTAAGTTAAATATTACGTACCATACATATTTACTGTTTTGCTATCACAACATGACTAATTTTATGTTTTAAATTGGCTTGCACATTTTAAGATAGTTTGGGCACAACCATAAGGCATAAAGTCCTACTGAATAACAATTCTTAATTATTACTACTTTAAAATTATTAAGATTGATTGAAAAAAAAAGCTGTCTAAGAGCTTAGTTATTAGTTTAAAATTAATTTTCAAATAAAACTTTTATTTTTACCATTTAGCAACTGCAACACTTTATGCACCATCAAATCTAAAGTTTCATTCAATACTTCTTTTACCTGTATGTTTTTGTGATTGTTCTCTGAATGCTTTCTGGAGAAGAGAAAATATTAAAATGTAAGTATTTGTTATTATTGTAAGTATTATAAAAGAAAAACAGCACATTTTTATGATTTATAACCTACTTTAGATTATAAAAACTTTCAGCAATGTTGAGAAATAGACCATTCAATACTTTTAAGTTGTTATTTTTTATGATGATGTTGTCAGCAGAGTCAAATAAAAGAGAAGAGAGAGACTTAACAGTAAGAGATAGCAATGTTTTGCTGCTATCTGTCAGTTTGTTATTAAGAATAGAATCTGTGAGAGAACGAATTGTGCCTGATACGAGAACCTAGAATAAAATTAATATATTACCATAAAATTTATAATTTTACAGTGAATATATTTTAACAAAATATTAAGAAAAAAAATAATATTTAAAATTAAAACCTTTCAATTTTTTACTTATTTTGTATCAAATACAAATAACAGTCAGCAAATCAAAATTGCTTTGAGGTATTGTGAATAAGGATAATGAAAAGAGCTTCGGCAAAAAAACCATGCATAAATTTGAATGTAAAAACTTGGGAAACAGAAAAAGCTTTCCATGTTTTTATGTCAAAAATATGAGTTCCCTAACTGTTTTTTAACTTGGGACCAAAATCAGCAGCAAGAACTGCTTTATCACCCAAGAATCTCTTCTGAAATGAAAAATTTATTTAAAATTAAATTGTAATTGTTGTGTAACATACGAGAAATTTTTTAAATAAAAATTAAAAAATAAAATAAAAACAATGGATAAACAAATGATTAAGTAGGAGGGTTAATAATAAAATAAGAAAAGCATAAGGGCAATTTATAGTTATAGTACTAATAACTAAATAAGAATAAATTTTTTTACATTATTTTTGTTTAAATAAAAAAATTTTTCATTGGGTAATCAGGGGTAGAAATTAAAAAAAAATTAGTCTCTGGTTCTTAGACAAGTGATTAAGATATATTACTTATTAATACACATTGGTGTGTCTACTTGTCTCTATTACATTTTTTTAAAAATTAATAAAGTGAATTTAAATGAAAAATTACAATGGAAAAAATTATGTTTACTATCACAATTATGATGAAATATAGCAAGATAATTTGCTTATTAATCTACATCCCTATCAGCACCATGGTTAAAAGTGCTATTTCAAAATTTTTATGAATTCAGTACTTTATTACCTCAGGTGCAGACAGCATTAAAGAAACACAATGTACAACATATTACTCTAATTTAGACATTTTAATCATATATCTATTTGCAAATGTATATATAATATAGTATTTAATGCCTTCCTAATATTTAAATAATTATTAATGATTTAATTTTCATTTATTTTTAGTTATTAAAGGTTTGGTTTATAAATCAATGTAATACAGTTGGAGCCTTGTCCAATTTGAGTATTGCCATTTGTGCGAACTCCTCCACCCACTCATTGGTTCATTTTTGGATTCTATTGAACATGAATTTATCGAGGTTCATTGTAACCATTACATCTGTTTTCATTATAATATGCTTCTATGGTGAAGTTTTTGGGTTTATGAAAACCATAATTGCTCATATGATCGGTATAATATCCACCCAAGATATAACTTTTTATTTTTATAATGTTGATTGAATAAATAAACTGTTATTTAATGTTAAAGCGAAAAAAAATGTGAATAAAGAACAGAAAGATATAGCAATAACGGCAACGGAAAATCAATCAGACTAAACAGAATGAGATGGTTTAAGATAAGAGAACAGAAAAAAAAAAGATGGACGGTCTGTTTTGTACAAGACTTCTCCATAATTGAAGTAAAGAACTGGAGGATAAACAGTGAACTGGAAATTTTTTTTAAAGAAGGACAAGGCCCATGCAGGACTGTCGTGCCACCAATGATAATGAAAGTACAGAAATAACATGATATAGTTTTGGTTCTATAAACAAGTACCTGCTTTAGTGTCTAAATACTAAATACTTCATCAGCGTTTAGACACTGAAGAAGGTTCTTGCTTATAGAATCAAAACCATACTATGTCCATTTTTGTACTTTATTCACGTTTTTTACTGTAGTTTACTTGGCACAAAGTATAAACTATCCTCCGTTTGGATAACGTGTTATTTGATTATAAATTCTCATTGCTTGTTGAAATTAACATTATAACTATTAGCCATATTTTACTTTAGATCATCTTTTTTTTAAAAATAATAATAATAAAAACAATTTATAAAATATGCAAAAATCAATTATTGGTGCCACCGATAGTTTGTCATTAACCTTACTGGAAGAGGAGCATAATTCTTGAATGGCTGCATCTCTTTCACATAATTTTTGACATTTGAATTCAATGAGAATAAAAAATATTTGACAGACATTGGTATGAAAAAAACTCCTTTTGGATAAACTGTTGTTTGTTAATAAATACTCATTACTTGTTGAAATTAATATTATAAATTATTATTATAAATAAATAATAGTCAAAAGAATGAAACAGTTGACAAAATATGCATAAATCAATAATTGGTGCCAATAATAGTTTTGTCATTAACCTTACCTGAAGAGGAACGGAATTTTTGAATGGCTGTATCTCTGGCACATAATTCTTAACATTTGAATCCAATGAGAATAAAAAGCATTTGAGAGACATTGGAATAAAGACTAAATTGCTGTACATGCTTTTTAAGACCTTTTCAACACATAAAAAAGCAATTACTTCATTGGAAATTTCGAAGTCATCTGTAAGACAAATGGTAAGGTTTTGTGTTATACTGTACTTAATTGTAAACTAAATTTAGCTGACAGTATATTGAAATGTATACCTTGTAGAAAATTTAAAGGATTTTTGTCACACAAACAAATGACAAAGTTTTTGAAGCTCTCCTTGATATCCTTCCAAGATTTCAATGTTTCAGAATCAGCAGTTTTTTTATTTATCACAATCAAAAAATGTGACATGTCTTCAATTATGCTAAAGAAATAAAAAAAAAAACGATAAATTAAAGACAATAGTTGAAAGTAGTTTTTTTAATATAAAAAATAAATAAGAGTTAAAAAGTAATAGCATTGTTTATTTTTTAGAAATATTTCAACAATTAAAATTTTTATTTATCTGTAAAAATATGTTTAAAGAAATTAAAATATACTAACAGTTTACTTGAAAAACATTAACAGCTTTATATAAAGAAATAAATTATATCAAAGATAACTTAAATATGTTAAAAGGTAAAACACTTTGAAACTTGTTAATAACTAACTTAATAAATAACTTGGCAAAGGTATTATTTTAATAAATTTAATTTTTTTCATCTAATTTTACAGGTTTTATTATTTATTTTAAGGATAGAGTAACATTTATATTTATAACATTATGTAATTCAATAAACAGATAACTTGAATCTTCAAAAGAATACTTAATATAGAAAACCTACATAGTAAGTTCTATGTAACGCATAAAATTTTATGTATGTTATTGCATCAAATAGGTCATATAACTTGCATTGGATACAGTTAAAATAAAGACAAGCTAATAGATTTTTTTTATACTTGGAAAATAACCAAATATGTAGATATCAGTTAAAATATGTCAAGCTTTAAAACAGAAAAATTATTTTAAAGGACTGTAATAAAGTACATTTTTCACGAATATTATATTATTATACAAATTTAGTTTCAAAGAGAAATTTTCTAAATTAGCATTACATAATTATGCCTTCATAATGATATATTTCGGAGACATTTATTATTTTAAATTGTATTTATTGAACTTTATTGCTTCATGTAGATAAAAAGCATAATATAAGTAAATTATTAATAATATAAAAAATCTAAAGCATAATATAAAAAATCTATTAAGTAAATTTTTCAAGTGTTTGCAAAAAAAAAAAGTAAACTTATTTAGATGTTTGTTTAAAATTATTGATATAATTTGAAAACGGAATAAAAGAATTCTAAAAGCAAGGAGATTTAAAAATATAAAAAATGTGCACATACAAAATATATACTACAGCTAACAGTAAACGTTTTTTAATTACTAATTCATGTCATCCTAAAAAGTTTCATATGTAGAAATTCCAGATGTTCAAAACTATATAGATTTTCATTTAATTAAGCACAAAAATAAAAGTTTTATAATGTTTAGAATGTTTTTAATTATGTTAGATCATATTTCGTAATAAATAAAATCTATAAATTTTTTACTTATCAAAATATGGCTTCAGTGACTTTAGGAAAGCTATATACCACCAAGACCTCTAAGACAAAAAAAAAAAAAAGCTTCTTAACAACAAAAGAAAAAAGGTTATTAACATCCAGGAATTAAAAAAAAATACAGGAGAAGAAAGCTTACCTCAGGCATTGGCAATTTTTCAGAAGACAGGTCAAATTCTTTCCAGCCATTTTCTCTAAATATAAAACAATAATTAGGGAATTTGGCCAAAGTATTTATGACAGACAGAGATCGATAAAATCATTAACTTTTTGTGAAATTCAATGGAATTGTATTCGTTATGAGTACAAAAATTATAAGGAACACACTGCGAAAAAATAAAAATAAGCTATAAAAAAAGAAATATTCGCCTTGAAATGTGAAGATAAGTCTTATATTCGTCTTCTTTGAAAAACTACTATATATATGCATGTATATCTTGATATATAATTGTTTACTACTCTAATTTATAATTTCTGACATTATAAATGCAGAATAGCAAATAGGACTACTGGTTTAATATAGATTATTGTTGAAAATGTGATGTTTTTATGGCGGACTTGGAACAATGGATTCCAAATTAAAGAGTATATTTAAGGAATATCTGTTTTCGGAATAAGTTATGCTCAGACCAATGTATGATTTTTATTTTTCAAAACCAGTAGTAAGATTTACTATAGCTAAAAAATGCTACTAGATAAATTGGGGTTCATACAAGCATTTTTTTTAAAAGTGATATTGCAACACATTTTGCGATGCAGAAAATTCAACATAATTAGCACTGTTTGATTTATATAAACTAACATAACGATAACTGAATGGTAAAGGTTAAATATTTATACTCGTATGAAAGTTTAAATATTCCGAATACGTATTCGGAATACGCGATTCCGAATACGTATTCGGAATACGCGATTCCGAATACGTATCGTGTTTAAAATATCGAAATTTTAAAAACGATGTGGAAGTAAGATAACTTGTAACAACTGCCGATAAAACGATTAGAAAAAATACGTTGATCTACGACAGCGTAGTTGCGAATTGAACGTGTCAAAAAGAAATTAGTCGAATTTTAAAGTTACGTATAGCTTTAACAGATTAAATTGTTATTTGAAAAACTATGTGAAAAAGCGGGAAAAACAAAAAAACAACTGCCGAGAAAATGATCGGAAATGACTTACATGAACGATTGAATAGTCGCTAACGAAGCGCGTCAAAAAGTGATTACTCAAATTCGAAATTCCAATGTCGAAATGTATTAAAGAATCGGAATTTAAAAACCATATTGATAAATAATTCCCCCCCCACCGCAAAAAAAAGAAAACGATTGAAAAAACGAGGTGGATTTACGATGAAATCATTACACAAATTTAAAATTACGTGTCGTAATGACATTGTAATACAAATATCGGAATTTGAATGACCATGTCAAAATGCCGTAGAAACGAAAAATAGGTCAAATAATTGACGAGAAAATGACGTGAATTCAAGAAAACAACTATTCTGCCGTTAATCATGTGCATCCAAGAAAAAAAAAGTTACTAAAATCGAACTTCAGTTGCTGCACTATTACCGTATCAAAAATACCGAATTAGGAGAAATATATGGAGATTTCCGCAAAAACGATAAATAACTATCCAAAATGATCGAAAAAAAAGAGTACGCAAACGAAAAAATAGGAGGATTTACCATGAAATCATTAATCGAGAGAGACAAGAAGTGATGACTATATTTCGAAATTCGCATGTCGTATTGACATCGTATTAAAAACATTGGAATTTGAAAAAACACGTGAAAAAAGTCGAAATTCTAGATAATTAGGCATTAATAAAAAATTTTTCTACCTCGTTTTTCTTTAACTGACAATTTTTTTTAAAATTAACAACTATATACTTGCTAGCCGACGTAATCGCGCCCTGGCCTAGACTATTAAATAAACTTGCAATTTTTAATCACGACATTTAACTATCGTTAAAACTGTTATGCTTCTGAAGAGTTCAGTTGATATTTTTTTCTTAAAATCAGTTATAAAAATTGCAAAGATATTTCTTAAAAATTTTTTAATGTTTATGAACGCTTAAAAATTATATTCAAAATCTAGAGAAGCATAGTTTTTGCACCAAGATTTAAAATAAAAAAAAAGAGCAAAATAGTCATAAAATATTTATTACGTAATACTCACCTTTCTATAACAGGGAGAAAGGCATTTTGAATGAAGAAAGATTTGTCAAAACATTTCATCAACTCTAACAGTGAGAAAGCCAATTCTATATTTCTGCTTTTATTCTGACAAAATAGCTCTGTCATATTTTTTTCTTTGCCATCATGCAAAGAAGCTTCCATCAGTAATAACACAGATAACGTGCAGTTTTGTTCAATGTAAGCCTGTTTAATAGAAATTCAATTCATTTTACAATTTGTTATTTTTATTTTATTTAGGAAAACTCTCTGATGAAAATTTCAACTGTACATTTGAAAACAAAATTTTTTTTTCGCAAGGAAAAAAAATGTCAATAAAAACTAATAACTGTTAGAAATAAAAACTTGATTTTTCACAGTTACTGAATCTGACTTTCTTATTAAAAAATATTGAAAAGATCAATCACTTTTATTAGCAAACAAAAACTTCAAGCCATTTCAGAAAAAAATTGATTTCAAATTGCTAGAATAATTAATTCTTCTTCATTGTCCTTCACATTTAAAAACCTTACCAATGAAATATCCAGTTTCTATAAGTCTATTTTATAACCATAAGAAATAAAATACATCTTTTTGTTTCATTCCAGTAGAAATATTTTTAAAACCACCAATAAAGGAGAAAAAATGAGCTTATGTTTTTATAGTTATGAAGTTAACATTTGAAATCCTAGAACTTAGTTGCAGATTTTACTTACAACCTGATTTAAAACTTCTACCATATTAAAATTAGTAAAAAAAAAAAGGAAATAAATTTAATAGTGCCAAATTTTTATTTTATTCAAAATTTCCAATGAGCTGCACAATCGGTCTTTCCGATGAGTAGACCTAGTGGGTTCTCCAGAGGTGGTATCCACTCTTTCAGGACCACCACAATGGGTGAGATACTGTTGGTCATGTTTATTTGGATGTCTAGCTTCTGCCACACTTCTGCCACATAGATGGCAGCACCGTGACTCTATTTGGATGCTAAAGTGCACTAGGAATTTAATTTTGCTGGCAATGCCAAGAGCCAATAAGGCACTCCAGGGATCTTTTACATGCCGCATAATCATACGACATGGCCGCTGAGGATTTTTTGCATCCCGAAAATCCGGTGTCTGGGCCGGGGATCGAACCCGCAGACTTGGGCTCAGAAAGCCGAGGACAAACCAACTGCGCCACCCAGCCACGTAGTGCAAAATATGAACCCCAATAAACATAATTGTGATAAATGTAGAATAAGGAATTTATTACGATCGTATAAATGTTTTGATTAAACACATTTTTTTAAAGTTAAAAAACTTTAAAAACTTACCTTACTTTAAAAAACTCATTTTCATTATTTCTTTCAAGTGAAAAAATGAGAAGTTATTAATATAATATATATTTATCAGAACACGTATTTGGCTTAAAAAAAAGGTTGTGGAATACCATTTCTCTTTATAGTAGTATCTATTATCAAAATTTAAACTTTTTCTAAATTCTCTTAAAAGTGGTGATATTTAGAGATTTACATTGGTTAATTTTTATCTAAGCACCACCTCTTTCACTCTTTGCAATAGTTCAAAAGTTAATTTTTAAAAAATGCTTGATAATTTTTTTATCTTTTTCAAAACTGTTCAAATGAAATAAACTAATTTTGTGAGAAGTTATAATTTAAATAATTGTCCCAAGATTTATTTGAGTAATATTTTGGGACACATAATTTTTAATATTATTTTAAATAATTGACGTAAGATCAAATCTTTCTTCTTTTCTCTTAGGACCTAATTTTTAATTAATAGGAGTAGAGAAAATGTTTTTGACTTAGACAAAATTGTCTTTTGCTCTAACTCATTAGGGTAAAATATTATGAAGTAAAATTTCTTATTGACAAAATACTAATACTTTTACAAATTTCAAAACAAAACAAAATTTTGCGCACACAAGATTCTGTTTTAAGACAAGATCTATCACGAATAAGATAAATCATGGGACAGAGAACCAGAAGACAAAAGAACACTCAGATAAAATTTTCTTTTGCTTTAACTCCACAACTCAATAATTATTTGGAACAAAATATCATGAAATTGAATTTCTTATTGACAAACTACTAATTTAAAAAAAAAAAAGATTTTCTATTCCAACACAAAGATTTTGTCCTAATATACGATCTATCGCGAATAAGATAAATCATGGGACATAGAATCAGAAGACAGAACACTCAGTCAAAATAATCTTTTGCTCTGACTCCACAGCCGAATAAATCCTTGGAACAAAATAGAACTTCTTATAGACAAAACACTAATAATTTTAAAAATTTATTTTCTATACAACAGTTTGTATGCACAAAATTTTGTCCTAAAACAAGATCTATTACGAATAAAATAAATCATGAGTCTTAGGACCAGAACTAAGTCATGAAAAGTATAGAATTTTTATTGACAAAAAGAGTGTGGATGGAATGAACGTGAATAGAGTATAGTTTTAAATGGAGTATGGTAATTGAGAGTTTACTAAATTAATAATTATAAGTTTTATGAAAATACTCTACATAATAAATAGAAGGTTACCTTTACTACTGCAAGTGGATTTGGGAAAGTCCAAGACGTAGCAACTCTGACAGAAAACCAGACAGATGTACTAAGAGAACTTTGATGTTGGTCAAAATCAGTAAATAATTCTTTTCTGACCCAGGGAAGCCATGGGGAAACTGATTCATATTTTGTTCGAACAGACAACTGGGCATGCGGAAAGCCACTTTTAAAAATCTTGTGAAGGCTTATAATAGGAGAAGTTAAAACTGAAAGAATTGCGAGAAGGAAACAACAAGAACTATGAATTTTGTTGATAGAGGAAACCTGAAATGATCAGATATATGTAATTTTATGCAAATGTACTCATAAAAATACAGCTATAAAACTTAAAAAATAAAATTTTAGAGTTTACATTAAGCTCATGGATTTTAAACACTATACAGTTACACAATAAAATTTCCTTTTTTTCAGTAGACATTTTTTATAATATTTACATGACATAATTTAAATTTTAAATGGAGTATGGTTAATGTATAAGTATAAACCTAAAATTGAATTGACTTTATATAAAAAGCTATAACAGTGTATCAACAGAAAGGAGTGATAGAATGGATGTAAAATGAAGCGTGAAAAGCCAAAATAAAAAAATAAATTAATTTGTTTTGAGGCAATAAGTCATGGAGGTCAATGTTGGGTGTATATAATGAGAAATCTCTAAAAGTCCTCCTCAATATTTTAGACAAATAGAGAAAAATTTTGATGAATCATCCCCGATTTAAATTCATCAAAGTTAAAAACGTGAAAAAGATAAATAATAAATCTTTTTGCAAATATTTAGCAGATGTATGAATTTTTTCTTCTTATGTGTGAAATTTAAAGAGCTATTGTGACTGTGCCTCCATCAAAAATTGGACTCTTGCGACGTCCACGCAATAAGTAAAGTTTCAGTGCCAAGATAAATAAAAAGAAATACCAAAGCAATCGAGCTACAACAAAAATTATAGTGAGAAAAATTGATTCAGGAATAAGTGCATAAAGCAGTCATACTAACCTAAAAAAAGCATTTAATATTGTTGACTAACAGATGAATGGACATATAATAAAAAAAATTACTATGATGCAGGAGTTTGCCTGCAGGATAGATTTTGCTTCGATTTTAAATAGTTATAAGATAATAAAAACTTTCAGTTTTCATTTAAAAGTTTTAATTCTCTAAAAAAATGGACAAATTGTTATTATATCACATGTATTTGGCAACTATTAGTTCATTAAATTTAGATTTAAATAAACAAAAAACTTACTATGACATTTTCTTCCATATCTAATTTTGACCCAATGAAATGTGACACATATGAACAAGCAGGCCACAGCAGTTCACTCGCACATAGAACCAGAGCCGTAATATCCATTCTGATTTGAGGTGTCCTAGCTTCACTTGGATTGCAATGTGAATACCTCATTAAGAAATGTTCCAAGCTGCTGGCTAAGATCTTCCCATAAAGCTCTAGAGCAACATCTTGAGGTAGGAGGTATACAAAATCCTGGTACATTCCTTTCATATAGAGATTCCACATTTGAATACTGTAAGAAACTCTCTCACCCTAAAATAATATTGAAATCATGTTCAATATGTAAATATGATAAGAATAAAAAGAGGAGCCCATTTCAGGTCATTAGAAAACAAATAACAGACTAAGTTAGATTAAACTAAATTCATTGGTGTAGTAGCCCAGGCATACTATATCCCAGTTTTTTTACCTTGAGCTTTGGGGTGAAGGAGAGGATGTTCCGGTTGGATGGTCAGTCAACTGAATCCTCAGTGTTTAGTCATCAAACATGTTTAGTATTAATTTTATCAACCTAATGAAGGAATTAACATACACACACATATTCTTCTTCACTTCGAATTGGAGCATAGAGCTTCTGTTGTAGCTTTCCATCTCACTCTATTTGTGGCCAGATCTTTTGCCGCTCTCCATGTTTTTTCTATTGTTTTCAATTCGTTTACAATCATCTTGCGCCAAGTATTTTTTGATCTTTCTCTTTTTCTATTGCCCTGGAGAGTTCCAATCAAAAATTTGTTTTTTCAGGCTTACGTAGAACATGACCAATCTATTTCCATTCATGTTTTTAATTTCCACATCAATCGGTTTTGTTTTTGCTTTTCTAAGGAATTCTGCATTACAAATTTTATGGAACCACTTGATACACAATATTCATCTTAAACAGTTGTTAAGAAATAATTTAAGTTTTTTTACGTTATTTTTATTGCAGTGCCATGCATCAGATCCATATAGTAGGACAGATTTAACATTAATATTGAAAATTTTAGTTTTTGTTGAATTTGTTATGTTTTTGTTTTTCCAGAATTTATTGAGAATAGCGTAACTGCTTTGGGGTTCGTTTAATTTATTTTGTATATTTTCATCAGTCCCTCCTTTGCTAATATCCTTCCAAAATACATAAAACTTTTTACTTCTTCCCATTTATTTTTTCTGAGAACATGGTATTTAATTGTTTAGGATTAATTTTCAAAATATTGGTTTGATTTTGGTTGATAATAAGCCTCATTTTATTTGCCTCTATGTTTAAAATGTTTGTTTGCATGTTTTTGGTCAGTAAACATAAGTCGTCTGCAAAATCAAGATCAGAAAGATATACAGTAAGGCTCCATCTTACACCCCTTTTATTCTCTGATACTTGAAGGAATTAAAAGATGAGTCAATTTTGCCCGGAATGGTGATAGAGTCCCAGACCCAGAGTATGAAGCACTAACACTCATCCACCGATATTCTAATAGCAGATTTCTTTATGAAAAAAATTTCCTTTTTTCCATTAAAAAATTTATTAATGTGTACAAAAGCTTGATTATGCCATAGCGTAATGGAATCCTAGCCTCACGCTTCTTAAAGGGATAACAAAATTTAAAGTTAAATTTTTCAGTCCACTGATTTAATAAAGAACAAACAAACCTCATGAATGGTTTAAAATATTATAGCACTGCAGTTACTATTTATTTCGCTTGATATAATATTTCTCTCAATAAATAACTTTCTTTTACAATTAAGAAACTAAAACTGATTCTTTAAACTATTAAATAATAAGTATATAATAAGTTTAGTTTAGATAGTAATAGTATTTGATTTTAAATATTGATTTACATAGCTAGAAGATTAAAAACTTTAAGCAAAATATTTTTATAACTGTGTGCAATAAAATTTAAACAAAGTTTTTGATTGAAAAATAAGAATTATTTCTATTGGAAATATATTATAAATGAATTTACTTCAAAGAAAGGCTTTTGATCTTGAAAATTGAAACTGTCAGCATCAAACATAATACCGCAACTTATATACTTATAATGATGTAAATAAACAGATTCCAATAAGTCGTCTACTAATTGAGAGGCAGAAATGCAAATATTATTTTGGGGAGACCTGCAAAATTAAAAATTATTATATGCATATAAAGACTTCAAGGAAACAATTATTGATAAATTACTAGTAGTTACAAATTGAATGCTTAAGTACTTTTTGCAATGTTTTAATTTCGATTTTGTTTTACAAAAGTTAAATTCAATTCAGCATAGATTTATAAAATTTTTTAACATAGAAACAAAATATATTACAATTTTTCTGGTAAAAGAAAATTAGCGTGAAAACATGATAAAAAATTTCCTATAAGAGACTTATATATACTAGACTTTGAAACGATACTTTGTCACATGTCAAGAAGAATACTACAAAAATTCTCGTTAGAAATTCTCTTTGATCGACTACAACTGGGTATCACTTAATTTTATTTATCAAAAAAACATTTTATTCAGTTACAACGATATGAAAATATCGGTCATAGGCAACTGGTTTAAGGGGAAATGCTATAAAATTTCTAAAGAATAAATAACTAAGGAATGACTTTTCTGAAGTCTTTTATATAGATAGAAGATTGCAACAAGGTTCTGTGGTTCTACTGCTCAATTTTATCCTAGAAAAAGCTATCAGGGAATATAGTTTCACAGCTAGTGGGACTATTTACCAGAAGACTTGGCATTTGCTGATGACACTGCCTTATAGGGTAGATCCAGAAAACTTGTCATAGACACACTTAATTTATTAAAAGATGAGGCTGGTAAATTAGGCTTTAAAAAAAATGAGGATTAAAACAATTCTTAGAGATTTTCCATAATGCACCTAATTCAGTGCAAAATTACACCATTGAAAGAGATACACAGTTCAAATATCTTGGAACCGTTATCACTACAAACAATTATTTAATCTTCAAGATAAACAATAGGCTTGCATGTCAAATAAATGTTATCATGGCTTAAAAAACCAACTAAAATCTCTATTTATAAGTTTTAAAACAAAAATTAACATCCATAAGACACTTATTCAAACTATTCTGCTTCATAGGAATTAATTTAGGCAAATAAAATACAATATAATATAAATTGCATGAGAATATATTATTGATCTTTGAATGGAAAATCCTAAGAAAAATATTTGGTGCAGTCCACGAGAATGATAGCTGAAGATCCTTGTTTAACAACCTGAAACTATTAAGGTCATAAAATGCAACAGACTGTTATGCTTGGGCTATTTTGACTTGATAATACAAACTCAGTAAAAAAGCTCACCTTTAGCTCTTACTAATCCCATGGGAAACAGAAAATGAGTAAGACCGCCAATTAAATGACTCGGAGAAGGACTTTAATTATAATAATTAAGAGAAATTGAAAAATCTTGCTGTAGATAAAACCAGAGGGTGATAAATACTTAGGGGGGCCTTGACCTGTAACAGGCTGAAGTGCCTTCAAAGAAGAACAAGAAATAATATTGGAAAAATATTGTACAGATGTATACACCCTGAATAAAATTATTTTAAGTAAGCAGTTTGTTATGTCCTCTCTCTCGAAGACACAAATTTGACTAAACAATAAACTTTTATCATTTAGAGAATTTTATGCCACAGTGAGTATTTAAAAAACATATGTTAATATAGATAAAATTTAAAAGATTTCAAATTCTTTTAAAATTTATGTTTTTCAATCAAAAATAGTTTATTTCATTCATATAAAATGTTTGATAGGATACAATTATCGTGATATTACTTTTACTTAACAGAGAGAGAGAGAGAGAGAAATTGGAAAAATATACATTGAAACCTTATGATTTTGAATAAAATCAAAATTTCTTGAGTAATATTTAATGGTACTAACTGACATTCAAACAAAATCATTAAATAACACATCTAATCGAAAAACATAACATGAAACTGTATCAATATCAAGTTGTACAAACATCGATAGTTAAAACAATGCATATTCATACCATATCCACTCTTAAATTTTAAAAAAATCAAAATTAGTTACACATAAAAATGTATTTTAGATAATGTCTTCAATAAAAAAGAAAAAGAGTAATTGAAATAAACCATCAAGTTTAATTTTTTTCATGTTACACATATTTTAACCTGATTTGGACAAGTTCATATATAGAAGTTACTTCTCTAGATACTAGAGGTAAATTGGGTGAAGCTAATGAAACGGAGACCTGAACAGTGTGTGTGTTATGTTTCTTAGCTTAAGTGATCCTCAAACATTGAAAGGCTTGAGTTGCTTAAGGTGTTTGTTTAGTGCAAAAACATGATTTTGGACAAAATTTTCTAAATTGAGTTTATTATAAATTTAGAATCCCTGAAGTCGTAGCTTTCTAAAAACACTTTACCGTTGTTTGCACTCCAATTATTTAGAAAGCTATAGTTTTTGTGCAAGGTGAGTGGATGAACTAGTTATTTTAAATCTTTAAATGCATTTATCTTACATTATTTTTAAAATATTGCCAGAAATTTTTCAAGAGTGTTTATGAATATAGTACCCATGTTTTGAACTACAGCTCTAAACTCAGTGGCGCGACAGCCCATAGAGGGCCAAGGCCTACTGTGCTCATCTCACTTTTCTTGACCTTGGGCTCTGGGGTGCAGGAGCAGGTGTTCCGGTTAGGTGATCAGGCAAATGCGAAACCCCCAGTGTTTAGTTCCCAAGCACGCTCGGTATTCATTTATCGACCCACTGAAGGGATGAAAGGCTGAGTCAACCTTGCCCGGCCAGAGGATCAAACCAAGGACCAGTGGCACGGGAGCGCGAAGTGCTACCACTCAGTCACCGGGCGTCTTTGAACTACAGACTGAGAGAAAAAAGTAGAATTTATTTTTTTATGCATGTTTTTTAATTTTTTATGCAAGAATATAGTTCAGAACAAAGTTTATAGCCTTTTAAATAAAATCCTCAAAAGGATATTTTGTTTTGGGTGATAGAATTATTTTACAGCGCATATGTGCAAAAAAAATGCTGTATTTTTTATCTAAAAATGGCCATTTAAAAAATAAATAAATTAATAATAATTTTTCTTTGCTAGTTTTATAAGTTTCGGCACATAATAAAGCAAATAAACTATTTTCTAAAAATTTTATATTAATATTTAAACAAAAGTTGTCGAAACAGGGAGTATGATACATTATACAAGGAAGATAATACATTAAATAGTGATTAATTTTGAGTAAAATTCTTAATATCTAGAATTGCTCTTTTACTCTTACTTCAAACACTAAAATGTAAATTTGTCAGGATTTAGTACAAACAATTATGATAAATATGCAACAAAAATAAACACTCATTTATACTTAGTATATAATTGTTAAATAAAAATTCATACTCAGATGCAGGTCCTTTTAATACTCCACAGTAGTTGAGAAGCCTATTTTTCAAGAATACTCCATTATTAATAGCAATATATTCGTAGTAAATTTCAACATTTTTACTATGATAAGCAATTTGCTTCAAGTGAGAAATCAGATCAATAACATAAGTTTCAAGACTATGAGAAAATGATGACTTGAATGATAAAAAAGAATCACAAGTAGTAAGAAGTACGTCCAGGTATTTATCTAAAATGACTATGGTGTCTAAGACACTATGAAGTAAAGTAGTCATTTGTACAGAGGTAGATGCAAACGGTGGAATATCAGACGAGAGAAGTTTCTTCCAGTCTTTGGATTTTAAAAGTTCTGTTTCTCTGTCGATTGATGTTTTTAAAACAGTTTCAACTTCATTTTGTAAAGACTTTTGTAGAAGACTAAGGAATCCACTTTCAACCATAGTCATCCTAGTAAATAAATAAAAAATTTTTTTTATAAATAAAAGTATTTCACGAAATAGTAATTATATAAAAGGGCAGTTTTACATTAGATGAAATAAAATAATAAAGAAAGTTATTTCTGGTAATTGATAATTCATTATATTCAATGATTGTATACATGGGCATCATAGGTATTCAATTTTTAAGGGAAATGAAACTAAAATATTAGTTGATACATTCTCAAAATTTCACAAATGAAAAAAACAAATCTTCTGTTTTAAAAGTATCTGCAAAATGATAAATTTTTACAAAAGTTTTTAGCTTATTTTTGATTTGGTTGAATTTAAATTGATGACGATTCATGAAATTTTATTTTATTTGTCTAAAATGATGATTTATTTGTCTAAAATGATTTTTAATGAAGATTTATTTTTTATTTTCTAATTATTAAAGGGAAAGAACATAACCACAATCTCCTGTCCAATGTTGTTCATTCAAGCTTTTCCCTTTTTAAAATCAAGCATTTTTCTAAAAATGTCATATTTTTATAATTATAACACATTAGATAAAAAGTGAATATAATTTTATTGTGGTAGAAGCTAACCTTGATTAAGTTATTTAAATTGCATTTATTAATTCCAGAGATTTTGAAGGCTCTACCTTATCTATAAGTATAAAGTAATTATGCTGCTCATTATTTTACTGCTTAAATGAATCAAACATATTATTTTAACAGTGAAATCCATTTTTTTAAAAAAAAAAAAAGATTTTTTTTAATTTCTCTCTTTTAATAATGAATTTAAAATAAAAAAAATTGACGATTTCATTTGCAATGCTATTGTTTTAATATCTCTTTAAGTTCTAGATAGAAAAGTTTTCGAATCTGGCAAAACAATAGCTTGAATCAAGCAGAAAGACTTTTATTTATAATAAAAGCAATCTAAATGAGAATTAATAAAAAATAATCTTAGTTAAATAAAAAAAAAGACAGGTCCAGATTAAAAAAATGAAACTTGTGCTTTATTAAAATGCTTTAATAAAAAAAATATATTTAGTTTACTAAAGAGTGCAATTATAAACTTAGAGTGTTCAGCCTTTCGCGCCAACTGTCACATATACATGCCAGCAAGAAACGAAGTCACTTCCCGGCCGACACACCGGTGTGCCAGAGTGTTTTCTCATTAAACCCCGGCCGTCACTCAATTGTGCTAGTGTCCTGGAACGTTTTAAAAAATAAAATTTCTGCCAGAAGATGGAATTGTATGTCAATATGGTTTCAGATGCATGTAGATTTGACCTTCTACTCAAAATAAGAGTAGTATGACTCACATACACATGGTTTTTAGGGGGAAGGAATGGAGGAGAAAGAAATGTTTTATGACGGCTCTTTAAATTCGCATGAGGTATTTGCAGTAAGCAGGGGAGGTTTTTTTTTGCTACAGCGTTGGGTATTTCGATTTGCGTCCAGTTTTTGGTGCAATGTTAGTGTATTCAAATTTTACATACGAAAAAAAGAATTTTATGTCATATATTTAGTTTTCAGATATACAGGGATGAGAGTAGTCAGAAAGTAGAAAAGAGGAAATTGAAGAATGAAAGAATATATATATATAAATATATACACAAAAATTTGACGAAAAAAGTGCGATTTTTAAACTTGTAAGCCATGTGATTATAAATCCCGATGATTAATTTTAAAATTCTATGAATATGAATCCCGATATGAGGCTTTTAAATCACGTGAATATGAAACTCTATATCGAATTTTAAAAAATGCGAAAATACAGATCATGATGCGTAATTTTTAGATCACATAAATACGAATCTCGATGCATAACTTTTAAATCGCGTGAATACAAATCACAATGTCTAATTTTTAAAGCACGTATAATTACGAAAATCGACGTTTGATATTACAACCGCAATAGCGAATCACGACATTGGATTTTAAGCTCGCGTGAATACGAATCGCTACATAGGGTTTTAAAAGCGCGTAAATACAAATCGCTATATTGGATTTTTAAATCTCGTAAATAAGAATCGCAATGTACGATATTTAAATCGCCTGAATAAGACTCGCAACGTTCAACTTTTAAATCAGGCAAATACGAAAATCGATGTTTGATAATAAAATAGCGATTTTAAAAATGCATAAATGCAAAACGCGATATTGGATTTTTAAATCTCGTAACTAAGAATCATAATGTGCGATGTTTGAATAGCGTAAATAAGAATCGCATAGCGCAACTTTTAAATCAGGTAAATACGAAATCGATGATTGATATTAAAATCGCGAGAGACTGGACTTGGGATTTCTAAAAGGCTTGTTTGTATTGTTTTTGTTTAGACATAATAAATAAAAATTTACAAGATTAAGTGAATGAG